TAAATAACAAAATGTTAAGGTTTTCAAAACAGGTTTTTGCAATTCTCCTATTTTTAAGCAACTTAAATAAAGGAATGAAATGAGTAAGCTTTTGAAACTAGACCAAATAGTATTTAATTTTTAAATAATTTCAAACAAAATGTGAAAGTTAACAAATATACTTAAAGCAATATAGGTATTTATGTGTTGCTTTATGTAGGTATCTGCATTAAATTTGACTGACTCAAGATAACAACAAAGTAGACATGAAATGTTTAAAAGAAATACATAGTACCTACATAGGTATAACACAAACAAAAAACTAATGAGCTGGTTTAATTAAAATAATGAGGATAGGTAATAAGAAAATGAAAATTTAATATGGAATTAGGTGTGTCTCGTATTTAGTAAAGATGTTAAATGTTACGATAATGAAATTATTTTTGCTTTACTTCCAAAATTGTATATAGATTATGGGTTATCCTTTAAAACCTTTAAGAAGTAATTTCAACATCAAAATCATTGCAAATCTAAGATCTTCATCTAGCAGAAACTTTATTCAAGAGCTACCAAATTACCTTTACTGCGGAAGTGAACTTCTGGAGGTTTATTATGCAACTTCATAAGAATGGAAACATTAGTGAGAGCCCTCTCAGACTCACAACACAAAAATTAATCACCGCCATAACGGAATTGGGTTTTGTTTGATACTTCATAACAAAGTGATGAAAACAAAACTTTATAAAGACTATTATGTTAAGCAGGGCCAACAGTAACTCCTAATTACCCTGATACGAAGCTCCAGTCTTTCCTGGGTTGCTTTACATTTAGTATTATTGTACTTAATAGTGTTATTTATGTTTATCTACATAGGTATGTGGCAATATTTTTGTTTATCCTAATCTTTATACAGGATATTTGTTGTGATTAGATGCGACGAATGATGAAATCGTTTTACGATGTTGCAATTTTTTTTATCCTAAACTTTATGATACACACATTTTTCACAATAAATCAACACACAACTGCACATATAAATCAAATTTTATATGAATGTTGTTGGTCGGGCGCAATAGGTGAAAGGGTTAGTATTGTAGTACTACATAATGAAATTCCTTACCCCACCATCTTATTAATACTTTCACTGACACACACACAGACCCACACCAAACGCAATAATTACATACATACAAAAATACTTTGCAGAATTTCAAGTCTGGACATGCATATTGTTTTACTTGCTTTTAAATAATTAATCTTATTGTCTAAGGACTAACCTTTTCTTTGGGTTCCTTGGCCGCTTTTAGTTTTCGTACCAAATCACCTTGTATTTTAATTTCTTCCAAAATTTGTTCACGCGTTTCACTCATTCCTAATAAAACAATTCGTAGCTGACACAAGACAAAACTTTATTTTGTTTTTATTATATAGAAATATTTTTTAAGCTTTTTATTTGTTTTAACAAATTTTTGTATTTAAATATCAATTATTTATGGTTTTTATTTAGAAATTATAATTGTTTTCAAGTTAATTTCAATTTTTTGCCAAAAACCACACAGAAAAACTTCACACGCGGCGGACTCGATAAAAAATTGTCTAAAAAAAGTGACAAGGCGAATTCAGATAAGGTGGTGTTATTCAATCAGCTGATTATATTTTTTCTTCACTTGACTGGTACGCACTGATGTCAGAGTTTGTTATTGTTTACATTTTTATATTTAAAAATTTCCGTTAAAGCAGAGAAAAACTTCGTTAGTATTTTGAATGAATTATGTAAAAAATACCAAGCATTTTGTAAACAAATATTTTTCTTATATAAATAATGAATAATTGGTAAGCATGTACAAACTTAATATAACAATAATATTTTTTCTATTAAATCTCAAGAAATTAAATAATATTGTTTTATATTTTATATTTACACTTTGTAGTTAACGCGATTAACCAAAAAAATCTGTGATATTTATCCGACCGGCGGCAGCTGTCTTCTACGTTATGGTAAAATTTTCAGGTCTAAAAAAAATGTAATAAATTTCATATTTGTATTTACACTGTGTATATAATCCCTATAAGAACAGTGACAGTCATTTGACCGGTCAATTGACTGTCACTACTGAGAATATACCCATCATTGCGTAGAACAAAGCTCCCATCACTTTCTTAAGGGCAATATGTAAAAAGTGATGGAAACATTTGTGTACATGTGATGTTGCATCACCCTCGCACTTATGAATTCTATCGACTTTAAAACATATATTTGAGCTGCTCACTCTTTTGTTGTTTACTAATCATGGATGATATAAATATTAGTCATGATTGACTAATCATGCTTGATGGATATATCCATCACAGTTAACAAATAAAAAAATGATGCATTAATCGGTCATTGTTGACTAATCACACTTGATGAATATATCCGTCAAATCTGACGGCTATACCAATTTATAATAAAACACAATTTATTGATATTTTAATATATATATATATATATTGTTAATTTTATTAATATAGTAATCATATACATAAATTACCAGTCTTTTCACCATTTTACATATCTCGCAGAATCTTAAGTCCTCTGATGCTCCTATTAATTTGTGGAAATAAGTTGTCTGTAAAGAAATACATAAGTATTCATAAATATCGAAATACAAAAATCATAAGTACATATTTATGTTACCATTGATTGATTAAACTCCGAATTGTTTATCTTCTGATCCACTTCCTGAACTTTTTTCAAATTTAGTTTATAATAATTCTCTTTATTTTTAATAATTTAAAGACTTTGTAATTTTTTTATTTTTTCGCTTCTTGATCTTTGGCTTTCGCAGAAACAATTAATTTGTAACGACGAAAAATACAACTCTGTAACACAGTGACAGTCATTTGATCGGTCATTTGGCTGTCATTGTTGATCAAAATATCAATTTTAATACATTTTAATCAAAATGTAGTTGTTTCATTCTTTCATATGCAAATTCAACCCTATACCACACATTGGGTCCAGTAACGGTCATTTTACCGGTCATTTGACTGTCATTGTTGATGGAATCATCCATTAAATTTTTTTTTCGACAATTCTATAAAAAAAAATGTTGCGTGTGTGTTAGTAAAATCATTTTGTATGTGTTAGTTTCGGTCATTCATTTCTTATAGGGATGTGATTAGCTAACAAAATTCTGTTCCGCAACGCTTTTTATAACAAAATCCATATGAGATATTTACCCGTCCGGCGACGTCTGACTACAACGTGTTAATCTTAAAAATTACTCCGCCGGAGTAGAATTTTCCGTTTACAACAAAGATTCTTTCATTCGTTATACAATTTTTCCATAAATTTTAACATTTTTATGTTTATTTTTCCCAAAAATATTAATTTTACATAATTTTGGGCACAAGCTTAAGTTTTAAGTTTCTTCCACTCAGGGTATATTATCTTCACAAATTTTAATATTTTTATGTGTAGTTTTTATAAAATATAAAAATTTTACAAAATATTTTCATTAAATGAATTCGCCGTAATTATTGTTTTTGACATCAGTGCGTACCAAATGCAAAAACAAATTACATGGAAAATTTTGTTGTTGCCGAACTGCTACCACCTTATCTGAATTCGCCTTGGTGGCAGCTATGAATAATTTACAGAGTTGCCTACTTGCTTTTGGGGGCTAAGCTCCACATGGTTGTAATTATACCCTACACCACTTTAGTGGGGAGGGTATGTTGAGTTTGTGATGATGTTTGTAACATACAAAAATATTCGTCCTATACCCACCTTAAAGTATACAAATCGGCTTAGAATCGTTTTCTGAGTCGATGTTTTCGAATTTTCAAGATAATTGGATGAAATCTGGCACACACGTTTTTTTTTGGCCCAAGGACGAAGCCTATTGAAAATGGTTAAAATCGGTCCATTATTTCACCTAGCCTCCATACAACAGAACCCCCGAAAAGGGCCTCTGAGCTCATAATTATGTTAAAAATACCTGTATATTGATAAAGCGGCACAACTAAGTTTTATACATGCCTTGATGACCTTGCCAAATTTCATAGAGATCGGGCCTAATTTGACCCTAGCTACCATACAAAGTCCCCTTTAGAAAATTACTTATATAAAAATTAACTTATAAGCACAAATATCGCGATGAAATTCAGTACAATAAAATATTATGTAAATATAAATATATTCATAAAATTTTTTCGGGCTTGGTCCATATTTGCCCCTAGCTTACATTCTTTCAGAAAATTAGTTTTTCATCCATAAATTGCTTAAATGTATCGGAACAAGGTAATAGAAGATAAATGCTTTATTATGAAAAATAAATCACATTTAATATTCATAACTAGGATATCATATGGTCGGTCACGCCCGAATATACTTTCTTACTTATTTTTTGGTACTTATTTTCCATTGTAACGGTAAACTGCATTTTGAAGTTGTTAAGTGCGTATTTAAAATATTATTTTTTAAAATTAATTAAATAAATGTATAAAATCTTAAAAAATAGTAGATTTAAAAAAAAAAAAGATTTTTTATTTTAAAATATGACAAGATTACTAAAATCAGGATTTTTTAAGAAAAACTTTGTTGATTTTCAACTAAAAACTAAAATGAAAAATAGATTTTTATTGAAAAATTTAATTTAAAAAAAAAATTACTTTAAATGAAAAATTGAAGAACAAATTATTTTTAATGAAAAATCTTATTTTTAAAGTAAGTTTGAAATTTTAATTAAAAAGTTAATTTTGAATATAGTCGGAAGTTGATTTTTAGTGAAAACTGAATATTAAGAGAAAAATAGAAAATAGGTTCGATTCTGAACGAAATTTTTAATTTTGTTAGAAAACTCCTCGTTTAAATGGTACTTCTATAAAATTTTGTCCCCAAAAAGCGTTTTTGCAAAGAAAACTCCAAAAATATTTTTTGTGTGTGTTTTGTTATTGCAAAAGATTATTTTATTATAAAATATATAATATACGTATAATTATGGGCATATTTTTTTGGAAATTAAATTGTAACTATATAACATTGTATATATTATTATTAAATTAAATAATTAATAAAAAGTATTTTATGCATAAATTGAGAGAAAGCCTTGGCAATAAGATAAATTCCGTAAATAATACAGAAATCAGAAAGAAATCTATTTAGTATACTAAAAGAAATAAAAGAAAATGGGATTTTTTATTAGTTTAGGCGACGTTTTTTCATCATCATTTTGCGTTTCTTTTCCATAGCCTCCAGTTTCATATCTTCTAAATCTTCCTGGATACCTAAGGGAATAAAAAAACATATAAAACATTTGCTATAAACCTATTACAAATCCAAAGCTTACCTATCTTTTTACTAATATATTCTTCTCTCTGTACTTGTGCGAAATTAGATTCCATATCACGATCATCAAAATCTTCGTCCCGATATCTGCCAAAATAAAACATTATACATAAATTTTTTAATTAATTAAAAAAATCTGTTATAAAACTTACTTTGATTTATCATAACCGAAAATAGCTTTTATATGAGAAGAATAATCCTCTTCCTCATCACCGTCATCAATGAAATCATCTAATTCGGAATCATATTCTGAATCATCATCATCCAAAATACGTCCTATAAAAAATATACAAACACAATTTCGTTATTTGTAAGTATGTCTTTCAAATGTGTAAACAAATAGTACTCACTTTTAGAAGCAGCCGATTTTTTACTATCACCATATTTGTTGGAAGAAGGTCCCGGACCCCGTCTAACATCTGCTGGTGGAAATTGTCTAGTTTTTTGCACATCACGCGGTGGAAATTCTCTTGATTTAACTGTTTTGATATCACGTGGAGGAAATTCTCTTGATTTAACTGTATTAATATCACGTGGAGGAAATTCTCTAGTAGGACCATTATAAGATTGTTTACTAGAACTGCTATTGCTATAGGGATTTTTACTGGTTGCTGAGCTACTGGCACTGCTGCTACTTAACGATGAGGATTTACTGCTAGATGAGGAAGAGGAGGAGGCACTTAACTTACTACTAGATTTAGCACTTGATGATTGTGACGATGATGATGATGATGAAGAACTTTTACCATTTGATGTCGATGAGCCATTTGTTGAAGGTTTTGCAAAATTGGCAGAAGAGGATTTTTTATCCAACGAACTGGATGATGATGACTTTTTGTCTGATGAACTAGATGTTTTACTTGCACTACTACTAGCACTACTTGCTTGATTTAATTTTGGTATTCTACCATTAGGTTCCATGCGTTGTGTCGACGATGAAGAGGAGGACGATGATGCCTTTTCCTTGTCAGGTCTTTTGCCTTTAACAAGTTCTTCATTACGCTCTCGTTCCCTACGTTCTTTGGCCTCTTTGGCCCTTTGACGTTCTTCCATTTCTTGTTTCTCCTTCATTGTCATTAGTCTCTCGGGATCTTTTTTCTTTTTTACCTCTACCAGCAGTTCAACAGGTTCATGTTGTTTTTTCTCGGCCAATTTCAGTAAAGCTTGAAAATCCATGGGTGGTGGTGGTGGTTTACGATTTTTTAATTTCTTTTTCTCCGCTTCACGTTTTCTGCGTTCCTCCTCTTCCTGACGCTTTTCTGCTTCGGGATCGTAAATCGGTTTGGATGATGTATTATATGTACGCGCAACATTTAGTCCACTTGCAGTGGTTTCCTTGACGTGACTAACTCGTTGACGAGTATGACTATTTTTCTCTTCTATTTCTCGTGTTATAGCAGCTTTTACACGCTCTTTCGTACCGGTGAGATCTTTGAGTGACTGTGGTCGACTAGGTGTGAAACCCTTATCTTCCTTTACATCTTTAACCTTATTAATTTAAAAAAATTTAAATATAAACCGATTTTAATCTAAAATTTGTACAAATTTTTATAAACTTTAGAAAACATAAATGTCAATAAACACACGATCTCTGAAACACCTACATACATAAATGTGAATCCAAAACAACTTACCTTATCTATATATTTTTGATAAAATGAATTGGCCTCTGTGGAAACATAACCATAATCATCCTGATCCGGTTGATCAGGACCCTGCATTGTAACCGCTGTATGTTCGGTATTGACTGCATCCTCCAATACCGAACGATTAGCCGATTTTGTGACTTTCAACATTTTACGGATTTTATTTTTAGATTTTTCATCTCTCATCGATAATAATTGATTAAGTTTTTCCTTTTGTTCTTGTTGTTTTCTCTTCTCCTCCTGTTCTTTCTTTTGCAAGAACTTTTGTATATTATCGGATAGCTTCTTTTCTTTAGACTCCTTTTTCGGGGGAGCGAATTTGGTACTGTAATATTTGCCCTAATAATAACAACAACAAGTGTTTTAAATCAAATTACTAAAGTGGTTTTATTAACATATGGGGGCATGTAACTAAATTCAATGGCTCTGCTAATCAGTGTCATTGTATATTTAGTTATTTTATGAGGTAGAAATCTGGTATTGTTTTTTTACTTACATCATTTTTGTTGTCCTCGCTGTTTTTCTTGGCCATATGCAGTAGAGTACCGAAATCCATTTTTTGGAATTTTTGCTTAAAATTTAGTTTTAATTAGGTTGAAATATATAATTTACTTTAAAAAGAAGAAATTTGTGTCTGTAAATAAAAAGCACTACGTTTTCGAGATTTCTTTAGAAATGAATACGTGCAGCCATATTGGAAAATTAATAAAGACTGAATTCAGCTGTTTAAAAGTGTTGTTAATTAGGAGATTTCATGGCAATTTAAGCGATTTTTAACTAATATAGCTGTAATTATTATGTGAGCAAATTTAGCAGTTTTGCTTCTTATATTTAAGCGATTTTCAAATTTATTTCAAAAACATATAATTTATCGCCTATTTACTTCATGAATTAAATTTAAGATCCATAATTTCTTAAATTTTTTTTTAGAAATAGTTAAATGACTCAAACTATTAAATCCTTTTTGATTTAAACGTGTTAATAACAGTATCGATTTATCGCTAAATTTATAACAGAACTGAAGTCATTAATTTTCTGATGATTTTTTTTAACATAAAAAGTTAACGCCACTGTTCATAAACATAGAGTTACCGTATTAAAATAAATAAAATGTTTAAAGTTTTAGTACTATTTACAAATGTACTAAACATAGTTACCAGATGAACGGGTAATGAATTAATGTCCAGGTCATATATTATAAATTTAAAAAAAAATCTATTGAAAATATTTACATATTTTTATGCAATTTCGCAAATTTTTCTAAATAGTAAGCATAACATTAATAAAACATTAATTAAAGAATTTTTTTTTTTTTAAATTTTCGTGTAATTTGAAGAATTCAAATTTTAAAATTTCAAATATATCGAAAATTTTTAACGATTATCAAAATATTAATTAATCAAAATTTTGAAATTTGAAAGATATCGAAATGAAGCAAATTTTTAAATTAAAAGTTATAATTTATTAAATATTATTTATTTCAAAACTTTTCATATTTCCTACGGAACACAAAAAATAAATTTTTATAATCTCTCTTTTCGGGATTTTAAGTCCACATTATCATCTGGCAATATTACACAAATAAAATTTAGTTGGCAGCATTTTTGTTGGTATTTAATATTGTATGCAGAGATGTAAATTTTATTATATTTTAAAATAAACTATTTTTCATCCTACGGTCAATAAAATTTGACTGTAAAATCTAATCTATATAGAGAATATTTGCAATTATATATTTATTTATTAATTTCTAGAACTTTGATGTATTTCAGCAAAAGGGACAAACAATATCTAGTTATTACTCCTGAATTCTCGTACTGTAAATGTATAACCATATTAACTTTTCCATCCCTGGTTGTATCAATACTTGAATAAGTTTTGTTAGTTTGGTGGTATTTTTTTCTTCATTCTTTTCTTTCAGGTGGATTGACGAAATCTTTTTTCCGAAAAAAAGAGGACAATTAAAGTCATTAAACTTGTATACCCCACACAAAGGGCGTTGCTCATATTTGTAAAAAAACGTATTAAATTGTAAATTTTTAATAAAGAAATTAGAGAAATTCTATTGAGGTGTTTGTGAAGAAAAAAGAAAAATATGGCTTTAAGACCACAACATACCACAGCCAATGAGTCTGAATATGAGACTTTGATGCAACGTCTGCATATAAGTGGCAATAGTAATGTTAACAATAGTGTGGCAACTAGCGCGTCGACACCAACAACAACACTAAATGATTCCCGACAAAGGATCAATCATCAAAGGCAGCAGCAGCCCCAACAGCCTAACCCACAAATGGGTGAAGAATATCGGATGTATGAACGTAATAATATAATAGCGGCTTCGAAATATGCCACACCTAAGCAAATTGAACAATTGCATTTGCAGCAGCAGCAACAACAACAACAGCAGCAGCAACACTCATCCCGTTTGAATACGGAAATGCCATTGAATGGCATGAATAGTGCTGGTGTTGGTGCTAATGATCATTATGAGCTCAATGCAGCGAAACGTCATTCACCGGTTTATGAAAATTTAGATTTTTATCAAAGTTCTTCGCCGGGGGTGGTAAGTGCTGCCGCAAAACACTTTGATTCCATAAATAGACGTGCACAACCACAAAGTCCTGGTGCAATGGGTCAACCTACACCCATACAACGTGGTCACTATATGGTAATGCCCTCTCAGCTACCACCTAATGCTAATGTTATGTCCGGTGGTGGCGGTCTTGCTGGTAGTGGTGGTCATGTCTTGAGATATGCTCACACACCAGTGCCCGATCCGGATTCGGCTCCTATATATGAAAATATGCGCATCATTCCAAACTCAGGGCAAAGAGCCCAACCTCAGGCTTCACCAGCCACTGCCACTATTTATCAACATCATAATATTGATGTTTTGTCCTCGTCGCAGCATCACAGTAGTCTTACACCACGTGCTTTACAACAACAACAGCAGCAGCTGCAGCAACAACATCAATTGCAACAACAACAACAGCAGCAGCTGCAACAACATCAACAATTGCAACAACAACATCAACAATTGCAACAACAGCAGCAGCAACCACAACAAAAATCTCAAATAATTTCTGAACATTCCAGTGACTTGCACAATAATGGTACCAACAATATTATAGATCCATTAGCTTCACCCATGCATCGTCGCAGTACTTCCAATTCCTCATTGAAAAATGCTGCTGCTGGTTCAGGCATTGTGGGTGTTAGTGGTTTACCACAAGCCGTTGGTGAGCCCAACTCACCCACACAACGTTATCGTAATCTCTCTTTACCCAGTCACATGGGTAATTCACCAGTATCGCCCTCAAAATCCTATGCTAGTTCGGTATCCAGTTCGAATGATTATAAATTAAATCAACATACTCCACTTAAAACTATGGTAAGTATTAAATAGATAGATAATGGTGCAAAATTCGGGATTGACATTCAATTTCGATAGGAGTGGATTTCAAAACTTTTTTTGTCATTTAAAATTTTGTATTTTAATAATGTTTTTAAAATTCTAGCACCATGCTGCCGGCATTAATGTATCCGTCAATCCAAATTATATTGAAGAGATCAATAGTTCTGATTATGTTTGCATGACAGCTAACATAAACAATACACCCATACCGAAACTCCAAAAGCCTCTGCCATCGTATTGTGCTGAAAATCCACAACAAAAGTCCAGTCTAGCGGCCGCTATTGAAGCACGGAGATTATCACCTACCGGTTCGACAAATAATAGTAAATTATTTACACCCATCCAAAAAGCCAATAACAATAATAATGCACAAGGGAATAATAGTGCTATGTCACCAACGCCATCACAAACCAGTAGTAAGGGTGAGTTATCCCTTTGAGATTAGAATACCCGCATTTATAATAATTTTCAAGAATATTAAGTTATTTATAAATTTAAAAAATTCGTTTCTTTAAGGCGGTTTATCCAAACATCTTTTGCCCTATAGTGTTACACCACCACGTCCTTCCGGTCCTTCGGAGGCTCAACGCAAAATTGAGGAATTAACACGACAAATTGAAGAAGAAATCGAACAAAGCGAAGAACAAGGAGAATACTTTGGTGAGTTTTTTTCTTGGACGCATAAATTATGAAATAGATTTTCATTATTTGTTTGCCTTTTAGGTATTTGTCATACTTGTGGTGAAAAAGTTAAGGGTGCCGGTCAAGCTTGCCAGGCCATGGGTAATTTATATCATACCAATTGTTTCATTTGCTGTTCCTGTGGTCGTGCTTTACGTGGCAAGGCATTTTATAATGTTCATGGTCGGGTTTATTGTGAGGAGGATTATATGGTAGGTTTTTACGCTTTTAATAGAATTTATATTGAAAGTGACCTGTTTTTTTTATATTTTAGTATTCGGGTTTCCAACAAACAGCTGAAAAATGTGCCATTTGTGGTCACTTAATAATGGAAATGGTAAGTACATACATATAATAAAAACTATGCATGAATATAATATCCAATGTGCCTGAATAATAAAATTTTTCTGTTAAAGTAAGAGTTGAACTAGATAATTTTATAAAAATATAATTCTTGGTGAAATATGTAATTTTTGGTGAAATATGTAATTTTTGGTGAAAAATTGCATATTTTTAGTAAAAAGTGCAATTTTTGTAAAAAATTTAATTTTTAATAAATAATGAAATTTTTGGTAAAAATGCAATTTTTAGGAAAAAATGCAATTTTTTGTATAAAATGCAATTTTTGTGAAAAATTAAATTTTTAATAAAAAAATGCAATTTTTAGTAAAAAAAATTTTTTTTTAGTTAAAAATGCACTTTTTTTTTAGTAAAAATTCACTTTTTTGGAAAAAATGCACTTTTTTTAGTAAAAAAAAAAATTTTTAGTTAAAAATGCTCTTTTTTTAATAAAAATTCACTTTTTTGGAAAAAATGCACTTTTTTTAGTAAAAAATTCAATATTTTTGGGAAAAAATTCAATATTTTTGGGAAAAATTTTATTTTTTACAAAAATATTGTTTTTTTTAGTAAAGAAAAAAATGTCTGATATCAAAAATATTGATTATAATTTATATATCTATAATTACTTCAATCGTAGATTCTACAAGCTATGGGCAAATCATATCATCCTGGCTGCTTCCGTTGCTGTATTTGCAATGAATGTTTAGATGGTGTTCCCTTCACCGTAGATGTTGATCATAAAATCTATTGTGTTAATGATTATCATCGTATGTTTGCACCAAAATGTGCCAGTTGTGGCAAGGGTAAGTTAACATGATTAATGTTAAAACATAACATAATAATCTCATTCAATACCTGTAGGTATTACACCCGTCGAGGGTACCGATGAGACGGTACGCGTGGTTTCCATGGACAAAGATTTTCATGTCGATTGTTATATTTGTGAAGATTGTGGCATGCAATTGACCGATGAACCGGATAAACGTTGTTATCCCTTGGATGGTCGTCTATTGTGTCGTTCCTGTAATGCGCAACGTATATCATTGCTAACAGCACCAAATGCTGAAGATCTGGAGCCAGTATGTGCCTCCTATCAATATATGGGCTAAACAGTTTTTTTTAAATTAGTTTATCTTTAACACTCTTACACACACACAAACATTCGCAATACATGTCGTTTTTAGTTTTTATATAAAAATCTTAAACTTATAATACAATATTATATAATTATATAATAATATAATAATGGCTATTCATACTCGTCGTATATACTATATTATAAAATCTTAATACGGTTAAACTATACAAGCAGCTTAAGAAAAATACATACATATAAAATATTTGGTGGTATTACTCATTATTAGACATTGAAAGAAAGTACTAGTAGTAATAATAATATTGCAATTGCTAAAAGGAAAAACAGAAAGATTTGTATTTGAAAAAGATTTTTTTTAATTGATTTGATCATGTTTGTCTTAAGCTTTAAGTCAATTTAACGCTCACAAAAACTACAGAGGAAAACTTTTGCATTTAAGCTAAAGCATTTTTTAAACCAATAAGAAATGTATAGTCGGTCAAAAGCCGATCATATTATACCCTACACCCGGAGGATTTTAAAGTTTAAAGTTTAAGAATGGGTTCTAAGACGAGAAAGGCAGCAGTTTATGAAATTAAAAGGTTATTTATATTGATAATTGGAATGGTTCGGAATAAAATTGAATAGTAATTTCTTAAATTTATTTTAGTTATAATAACTGATAATAGATTCATACAAGTGGATCGATCAATTATGGGCCGATCTTTCAAATCATGAAAACTATATTGCTTGAAAATAGATAGCAAGGACAAGATTTTAAGCAGACAGCTTGACGGACTACTTTAAATGTCCTCCTCTATCATGGTGTAGGGTATACAAAAACTAAGAATAACCCTAAACAAAAGACATATTTTATAAGACAACTTTAGTATTAAAAAAAAATAATATACATTTCTAATATTTCTGGATTTTGCTTTATTAGAGGGCAAACAATTATTGATATAAATACCTATTATACAAATATTGCATATATAAATTTTTTTGATATACGTACATATAACTATGTACTTTTTAAAAATAGCTATATGTGGCTATGTAAAAGGTAAAAAGTGTTGTTGCTTACAAAATAAAAAAAATCATATATAAAAATAAAATGGAACAAGTGTTTTTCTTTATAAAAAAGATTAAGGAATACAACTACGTATTTGCATTTTGGGCTACGGTAGAAATAGGGGTATATTCTCTTCTGTCGTGGGTTAGATTCATTTCAGGCACTGGTAAGGGAGCGCACAACAGGCTCGATAGAGTTTAGATGCATTTATTCGGATCTAATGTAACATACATTATTTTCAAAACATTTAAAGTTCAAAATTAAAAATCAGCTTTTAATCAAATTTTACGGGTCCTCATAATTTAAAAACTATTTCGAAAGTTTTAATTTTTTTCGAATATAAATAATGAACTGTTGAAGATATCTTAAAAACCAGAAATTATCGAAAACTCTTGAACTCTTGCCAATATTTAGAAACTGTAATAAAACACATTCAAAATCATGAACATTTTAAAATAATTTTCAAAATTTTAAACTAAAAATTTGGAAAAATGTAAGCGAAATTAACTTCAGTTATGATTATGAAGATTAATTTAAGATTATAAAACAAATTTTCGAAATTACAAATTTATGAAAATTTTTAAATTATTTTCACGATTTGAAATTGAAAATTGCAGGAAATTTGTTTCAAATAAATACTCATGATTTGGAGATCATTTTAAATGCTTAAAATTCAAACATACCTTAAAAACCTATATTCTGAAACTATTTTCAAAATACTTTAGAATTAATGAATTCGAAATTTCAATATTTTTAAAATGTTTTAGTTTTAAAAAATTTTCGAACTTAAGTTAAAATTTTTTAAACTTTTTGAATATATTTTAAGTTAATTTTTTACTTAAAAATATTTCAAACTTAAATTCGAATTTAATTCCGAATTTTCAAAATTATTTCAATAATTTTTAAATCATCTGCTTTTACAAAATTTAACACAAGTTCTAAGTTTTAATAATTCTCAGGTCCAAAAAAAATTAAATTGAAATTTTTCGAACATAATTTCGAAATTACGCATTTATATTTTAAATTCCGAATATTGTCAAAATTTTAATTTCACATTAAAATTAGTTAATTTTTTACTTAAAAATATTTCGAACTTACATAGGTTCGAATTTAATTCAAAATTTTCAAATTATTTCAATTATTTTTAAATCATCTGCTTTTACTAAATTTAACACAAGTTCGATTTTTTAATAATTCTCACGGTCTAGAGAAAAATAAATTGAAAATTTTCGAACATTATTTCGAAATTACGCATTTATATGTATTTCAAATTTCCATTATTTTCAAAATTTTAATTTCACATTAAAAAATATTTATTTTGAAAGTATGACATATGAATTTAGTTCGAAATTTCGAACATGATTTTGAACTTTCGCACTTACATACATATTTTTGAAAATATTATTATTATTTTTTTTTTTGATGTGTAGTTTTGAACGTTTTAACTCAGAAAAAATTATATTCGAATTTTCGCATTTATTTATAAAATTTCGAATACTTTTAATATTTAATTTCAGTTTAAAAATTTTTTGTTTTCAAGTATAGTTTTGTTTGATCTAGAGAATATTTTATGTTTTACAAAGTTTTGAAGCAATTTTCGAATTTTATTTCAAAATTTTTATTTCGCATTTATTTGTGAAATTTTGAATATTTTTATTATTTAATTTCTGATTAAATATTATTTGTTTTAAAAGTATTAACTCATGACAATTAGTTCATAAATTCGAATATAATTTCGGATTTCGAATATTTTTAAAATTTTAATTTCAGATTAAAAATTATTTGTTTTCAAGTATAATTTTGTTTGTACGAACATGCAAAAATATATTCGAAATTTTAAAAAATCTTGACCCAATTTTATTTCAAAATTTTCGAAATTACTGAAAATTACTTGTTTTATGTATCGTACCATTAATAAATTTATAACTTACCTTTTCAAAACTCGATCATTACAAAGAAAGAGAATGTTTGCTAATTATTTATAATACAAAAAAACTTTTCGATTTTTATTTTTAAAATATGTCTTATTTTAACTGAAACTTAATTAAAATTAATGCATTAAAATTTCCGTTTGCACCAGTCGTTTATTTGTATCGCCTGGCATACGATATGGTACGGTGGCGGCCATATTTGTTAAAGCTTTAGCTTTCTGTCGCAAATGTTGTAATTGCTATAAATTTAAAAAATAAGAAAACAGAAACAATTTCATAATAATAATAAAACTGATTTTTGTTACAAAAACAACAAAATTTTAACTAAAATTTTCAACTTACACTATCTCTGCCAGTATCCAACATTCCGGTATCTTTACCCTTAATGGCCTTATATTGCGAATACAAAATATCCATGGCCGCTAATAAAATATCAGGATATACTTTACAGATTTCACCACCCAATCGTTTGAAATTATTAATACATTCTTCCAAATCATTCATAGACATGGGTACAAGTTTAGTATTGGCCAATACCTCGAGAGCAATTTGAAATTTACGTTCGTGATAGTAATCGAAAAAGGCTACCAATTCGGTTAATAAATTAAAATTGGCTAGAACTTGAGGTTCACACTCAATGCGACTGCCTCTTAAACGTTCCATAAAATCGGCGGCCATAACAGAAAGACGTTCACGCAATGAGCCTTTTTTCGAACTTTGATGAACCACTTGGGAGAGCAAAAGCGACAAATAGCGCAGGGATTGACTTTGCATCTATAAAAAGTACAGATATAAAAACAAATTGGAAAAGAAGAATTTCAAATCTTTCAACTTACACTGGCTATATCAAATAATTTAATGGCATCTTCAAACATGCCCTTGCGTACTAATTCCTCAGCTACCATGCCGGCAGCAGTTCTGGTATCAAAGTCTACACAATCAAATTGTTGGAATAAACCCCTTAAAGCAGTAAATATTAATTAAAAATGAGACATTTTCTTCTAAAAATTTAAATACTTACCCACAGGCCATGCCAGTAGGCATCATTTTACCAAATATTAAATCATAATCACGGCACTCCACTGCCAAATCACTAACACACACCAAAAACAAATTGCGACCCTCGGGATCCTTAAGATTACGCAAAAAGAAGAAATATTGTAAAGCTTCGGCCGGATCAGTGATTTCAAATTTCTTCACATACAACATAACCAAACGGGCGATATTTAAGCGGCGCATTGGCACAGGATCCTCAATATCCACCGATACTTTTAGAAACAAAAGAAAATGTATATTAAAACAACTGTTTGGCTATGTTGAAGCTTTACTTACTTAATGGTTCTTGAACATTACGTGGTCCCGCTATCAAAAACATTTCATTTAAAGCCAAAGCTATATGCACAGCATGAACACGATATTTTTCGGTGCGTGATAAAAACTCAATGGCTGCCTCAAATTGTCCCGTTAAAGCCAAAACTTGGAAATATAAATGTTGCTGTTCACCAGCATTGAAATGTTTTTCTCCGTATTTCTCCAAAATCATGGTTTGCAAGCCGGAGTAAGTTAAAGCCTCTGAACTTTCGCTGACATCAGTGCGCAAAATGGACAATTGTATCCATAGGAAATCATCGGTGGTCTTGGCTACCTCTAAATGCTGTTCATTAGGGTCACAACCAGCAATAATACAATAAACCTTTAGTGTGAAAAAAACAAATTTTTGAAATGTTTGTTTTTTGTAAAATTGTAATTAAAGCTTACCGCCTTTTTATAAGGATCTGTAGAGTTTTTAATCTTATTGCAATAGTGTAATTTAAGTTGACCCTCCAATTTGGAGTTTATTTTTTGTTCTGGTTTATTGACTTTATCCTCTAACACCTGCATGAAATCCTCATGGCCGGCTCTACAATATTAACATAATTTATACAAAGACATTTCTGCAAATTCCCTTATAATCTCACTTACCCTCCCATTTGCATGCATCTCAAGGCCGACTGCAAATCACCACATCTTAGGCAGTAGTAAACCATAGGCCACAAAGGCTTACCATCTATGGTCACATCTTGTAGACCAAAACAGTTGCCTTGATTGAATGTTAAGCCCACAAAAGATGACACTAAATTAAAAATACTTGGTACACCACCTCTTTGAGCTTCCCGCAAATTACCACTGATTATTGTGGTCATATAGACTTTGTAACGATTCTCTAAGTATTTTTTAGCCTGTTCCACAAATTGTGTTACCTGCTGGCGACTTTGCATGGGATCACGATTACGCGAGACGGGTGTTACATCTACCATATATTTCATAATTTCCCAAATTTCATTAATTTTGGGATCATCAAATGTTTGTGCTACCTTGGCGAATTTTTGTACAAGATTCGGCCGGAAGGCACCTTTGATGACAATGGCATTGTAGTCGTACACTTCACGGGCATAAGCCATTTCCTTAAAAAAGAGAAATGTAAATAAGTATGAAATTAATGAGAACGGAGAGAAGTTTAATTAGCTGAGACAAAAACCACACATGTTAATAATTTAACAGAGTCTGTTATTAATTTAACAGCTGAATCTAAAGTGCATGAGATAAGGTGTATTAACAGAGCAAAAAAAAATTGTAACAGATCATGTTAAAAATTTAACAGAGTATATACAAAATTTAACAGAGTATATACAAATTTAACAGTTTAATATATATTGAGAAAAGTTCAATAAAAAGCAAACGATTCCACAACAAAAAACGTATTTTTGAACAAATTTGGATTTAAGTTCATATACAAATATAATTCTATATAAAAATAATTATTCAGGCAAGATCCACAATGTCCAATACTTACAATACGATTGAGACATGAGCGAGTACCAAAGGTTTCATTGATAACCGTTTGTTCTGGCACTTTTTGTATGTCAATCCAATTTTGTGAGGGACCCACCAAAGCATTCATCAATTTCATTTTCTCCTGACGCCATTCCGATTTAATATGCTCCCATTTGCGTTTTTGGGCATTCATAAAGGACTATAACAAAGAAGACAACAACACCATCAACACTCCACAATCTGGTTAATACTCCAATTAAACTTACATTTTTATGAACTTCTTCTATAACCGAAAGTATGGCATTTTCTTTTTCATTTTTCAAAAAACTTTGTATATCTGTATCGGCTATGGGATCTAAGGGTTCAAAAGTCTTGCGTGCACTTAACGATTCTAGTTTTTGGGATATCTTTGGCAAATCAATGCCTTTGGAACCCAATAAAATGTGCCTGTAAATAAATTGCAGATTAAATATATATATTTTTTTTATTAATTGTTAATTTCAAACTCACGCTTGTATATCTTGTGCACCGGTTTGTGTTACGCGCGAATGCAATTCCTTGGTGGCCTCTAAAACTTGTGAAATGGTACGCTCCACACGAGGTAGTTCTTCGGAGGTCTGTGTTTCATTGGTTAAACGTTGTGCCTGCTGTAGTAGTGCATTAAAATCCATGGTGTCGTAGTTCTTTAACAGTTTTATTTAATAAATGAACACAAATTCTTTTATAAATTCTGTTTAATTTTAATAAAATACACAATTTTATTATTATTTTTTTTTTTGACAAACACCGCTTGTCAATTTATTGTGTGGTGTTTTGGCGGCTCCTGTTAACAGTAATGCCAGAAGATGATTTTCTGAAATCCCTACGCTTATGAGAAAAATTCCCTTTTTTTCCCTACACACACTTTTTATTTTCCCTACACTACTTTTTTCCACATTTTTAAAAAAAATAAAATTTTATTTTCAATTTAGGTTTATTAAAATAAAATACAAAAATAACATAAAAAGCTAAAAAATATTAATAAAAAATTATAAATTAATGAATACTAGTAAATGTTCTATTACTGACAGTGCCAAAAGTAAGAAATCTTTCGCGTTTTCCCCACATGTAATTTTTTTGAAAAAATCACTTGGCATCACTGCATGTTGAGGAATTGTCAAAAGAACATTGTGGTAATACAGCGCTTTTGTTGTATTTTAACAAAATATTAGAAATAATAGCGATTTTTAAGGTGTAATGCTAGTTATTATTTTATAGTTTTTATGCATTAAAATATTTTTTATAAACATTCTGTAATTTGATACTAAACTAATCATATACTAAAAAATTATAAATTATTAAGCGATTTTATTTGTGTTTTGGAAAATGCAAAAGAATGTTAACAAACATAAAAAAAAGCGCTTGATTACAATTAGGACCACTAGCGTCAAGCGACTGCTGTTATATATTAATTCAATTACCTATTTTATTATAATTTTAAACTTTTATGAACTTAAAAAAAAAGAAATACCTATAAGTGAAATAAATATTGAATTTTATTTGGGTTTAAACAAAATAGAAAATAATATAGGTATAAAATGTATTTTTTTAACATTTGATTAATTCATAATTTGTTTTTGAAAACTAAAAGTAAATTTTAAAACAAAAAACAAAATACTTCAAAAGTTTGCATTATATGTGAAACTGTAATGAATTTTCTTTTATGAAATTCATTGAAAGCTTGGTTTTCCAAATTTAACAAAAATAGTGATTATAAATTATTAATAAATTAGTTAAAACTAAATTTTTTAAATATGTATATTACTAATACTTAATATGATTTATAAACTAAAAGAATAATTATATAAAAAGTAAGGGACAAGTTAAAAGTTCACCTTAAGAAACAAAATTTATATGCATTTTTTAAAGCTAAGTAAAAATTTCTTCCTTTATGTTAAAATAATGCTCCACACTAATCTAATATTATGCCGTAAACAACTGAATAGTTTTCATAACTCCTAATATCTCAATCTAAGACAAATTCATTGGACTAGATTTAAATATTTAAAAACTACATAGGTATTGGAATAAATAATGTGTATTAACTAAGTAACGTAATTAGTACAAAAAACATTATTAACATTATTGGGTTAAATTAATTTATTATTGAAAAGATCCCTCCATAGCACTTACAAGATCATTTTGTTTTTGCTCACATGATTGGGAACAATAGAAATTTAAGCCCACTGCACTAAGGTAAGTAGCCTCGGATTCGCAATAACGACACCAGCGTTTACGCTTTATATCAGTTCTTTCCACCTGCATTTGGTTGTATTGCTTTTTTAACTCATCGATTTCTTGTTCATTTCGTTGTATCCTTTCCTGCTCAGCCTTGAGACAGGAATTGTAGATGAGGGCCAAACGTTTGTAATCCCTTTTTAAAGTTTTCATAAATATATAGGCTTTTCTATGATAATATTCGAGATCAGGTTGCTGTTGTTCCTGTGAATGATGTTTAAGATCCATTTCAGCAGTTGTAATGGAGAGATCTTTAACTTTTTTCTTTAAAACTACTTCTCCTAGTTGTTTTGGTGGTGTATAAGTCTCTGGAATCTCAGTTACCACATTATCACAGCATTTTTTCGAACTTTGTTTTAATTTAAGTTTTTTACTTATTTTTGAATTCTCCTGCTGTGATTTTTGCAATCCACATGTTTCATGGACCATTTCGGGAGTCAGTACATCTGTTAAGTTTTTCTCTTTGGATTTTTTCTTTTTAATATTTTCTTCTTGAGGTTGCTGTAAACTTTCCTCGCATTTTGCTACTGTCATTGTATCACAGATTTCTTTGATTTTACGCTTTTTCTTGACTTTTTCATTTTGTGGCTTTTTATCTTCACCCAGGACCGTTGTTCCAGTTGCTAACTCAGTATTGCTATTTGGTTTTGTTTTAAGCTTTTTCTTTATTAATTTGTTGTTAGTTGTATTATTCATATTAAACTATTAATTATATCATGTAAGTGACAAGTTTTATTTTTCTTTATAAAATTAATTATTTTTTCTATTTTTAAATGAAAGTTAAAAAACAACAATACCAGGAGCTTGTAAAGGTAATTTTAATAAGGGGATCGTAGTGCTGCATTTAAGCAATTACGATACGTTTTTTTAATATATACTTTGACATATCAATATTCGATTTGACATTTCAATTGTACTGACAAAACCACCTTCTTTAAATTCGCTATGCCATATTTTGTAAATAATTTCAAACATGGCGCCGCTGAAATTTTGTAAACAAAAAGCTGCCAGATGGCGTTATTTTGGAGAATTTGAGAAAAAAAAGCTCTAAAATTAAAATTAAACAAAATTCTATAAAATTTTAAATTTTTTAGTTATTAATAAAATTTTAACATTTTTTGATATGTTATCTCAAATTTTTCCTCAATTTTTTTTACGTTTATAAATAATATCCACCCCTCAAATGAAAAAAAATTCCCTTATTCATATTAAACACCCTTGATTTGGCAACCCTTAACACAAAATCCTGTTATAAATATTTGGCCGGTCAGTTTGTTGTGGTTGCAACTGCAAGATTTCATTCATAAATTCAGTTATCGATCCGGGGTGGTTGTGTAATGAACGTAATGAAAATTTTCAACGCATACAAGTCCTGTGAAAAGTGAAAATTTTTAGAAGTTTAAAGGAAAAATTTAATATTTTTGCTATAGAAAAACAAAAATTAAAAGAAAACCTTAAAAAATAATAATTTAATAAAATAATATAAAGAAAAGGCTAAAGTTTAAAGTAAATGAAAGAATTTATTAAACAAATGAAATTTGGGTGTTAACCAGACATTTGCTAATAAAAAAACCACAAGAAAAATGGTTGGTTTATTAAATCCTGTCAAATATGGAGGAAATTTTTATGATTTATATACTTTAAATACAAGAAGGTAAATATTTTTAAGGAAATAATAAAAATTAAATAGAACTATTTAAGAATATATCCTTTAAAACTTGAAAAGATTCATAAATAGAGAAGTCTTAAAATGTGTCTGCTGTCGGCAGACATTATTGATTTTTTCCAAAAGAATCTGACAAAACATTTTCGAAGCTAAATTGGGGAAAATAAAAGAACTATTCTATTTAATATTACTTTTTATTATAAATTACATTATTTTTATTTAAATTCTTATTAATTTTAAGAGTTTTATTGAAAAAATTATTTGCTGAAAATAAAGGATATTCTTGTGGCATACACACAAACAGCTGCCTCTTTTTCTTTTACACACACACACACACGTACACATTTATTGTCATTTTTTATTTTGTTTGTGTCAAACTATTCGGTGGGTTTTTGTGTTTTGTTTACAGTTTCGGCTTGTTAGGCCAGCTGATAAATTGCATGCATCTGTTTAATGTTTTTGTTTTGCTTTTACAATTTTCGGGTCAATGAACTTTGATTGATTGATAAGTTGCCGGTTTTTTGTGAACTTGCGTACAAATAGAGACTTGTTGTCTTAGGTTTTGGAAAAACTAGGACAAACACCTGTTGTTGTTTATATTTTTGAGTGTGTTGGTATGTATATAATTGAATTTGCAATAAATATTTTGAAAGTATAAGGATCTATTCATTGGTATAAGGGATTATTAAGTTTGCAAACTGCAGCCATAAAATATGATGCTTTTCATTCTAATATTAAAGATTTAAGAATTTTGGAAATTGTTGTGGCATCAGTGCTAATTATACCCAATGTTTTTTTGTTTTAAATATGTATTTGTTTCTATATCAATGGTAAAGGATGCTGGAGTAACGTGAGAAGTTGTCATGTGGTTGTTTTTTATAACAACAATGCTGTGGTAAATTCGCGCAATTTGATTTTTTGCGAAGTACATCACAGCCCCCGCGTTACCTCTGAACTGGAGCTTTTAACACTTGGATTAATGATAAAATTTTCAAATTAAAATTGGAGTTAAACTTTCAACTTTCAACAACAAGCCTAAATAGTTCTCTACAGGTTAAATGATAAAGAATATTTGCTTTGTATTTGAAAAACCTCGGTATAAATTAGGAACCAAGAATGTTTAACATGATGACAGCTTAAAACTAAATCTTATTACTCTTTCAGGAAAGTGCAGCCGGATCGCAAGTCTATCGGAAAGCGTAAAAATAAAGATAAAAAGGCACCCATTGCCATTATAGAGGGAAATCCTGATTTACGCATAGTAAACCCTTTGGATCCACCTCTCATAAAAGAGCAACTCCTATTATGTCCCGCATTTCCGGTGGCACATATAGAATTGCAATCAAATGCCTCACAATTTGCAGTATTCTCAGCTATACGTTCCACTGTACTGGAGGCAGAGACAAGACGTTTATTATTCTACGAGCTTAGTGGTAATGTAAGGAATTTACCTCAAATTAATTCAACATGTTGTTTAATGTGTGTTGGCTCCTGTTTGACGGGCAATCAAATGGACTGCTCTTGTCACACTCTAAATGCTTTGCAACAGGCTAATGCGGTAGCTGGTGTGGCGCCACAAGTTGCGGCGGGCGAAAAAAGATCTAGACAAGACTCGGCCAATAGTGATGTAGAGTCCGAATCGGAGGAATGCAGTGAAAAAGAATTGAAAGTGATAGCAGTCCCGCTGATAGTGGGTGCTGGCTTGAGAAGTTTATTTGAATTGATATCAGAAGCTCGTCATATACAGCCCATGCTGTGCTCGAAGGCTTTAAAAGCTTTATTAGATGTTATACAGGGACAACAGCCGGAATCGTTTAAAAATGAACCGGAAGAATTAATAAATCCTCTATATGATTTGTTACTCGATTTGGCTACCATGTCGGCGGCTGAAAGTGTGGCTGCGCCTGTTGCCCCGGAGGCTGATTGGTCTGCTGTGGCTTGTTCGGCTTTGGTGGGTCTGTGCATAGCTAGAGGAGATACCGGCAAAATGCTTAAAGCTATAGCGGCTTTAATCATGTCTCCAAGGCATTTATCCTCACAACGCATACAAATGCCGGCAGTTTTAGGCATGTTGCAGCGTACTGTAATAAGCGCTGCCTTGGGTAAACCTACCTGTCCAGATTTTTATACCAAAGGCGTGCCAGTTAACTCTTTAGTAGATGAGGTATTATTGAAATCGAACGTATTTGTTTATAATGTTTAAAAATGTGGTTTATTTTATTTTTTGTAGTTTGCTATTAAAGCTCCTATGTGTGGTTTTACTGAACCGGCTTTAGCCTCGGATGGTACATATTTATATTTGTTATTGGGAGGTGCTTTATTGAAAATCGGCACTGGCTATAATGGCTCCTTTAAGGGTCATATTTACATGCAAAATGATGAATTTACCAAAGAAAAGACAGGATGGTTGGGTTTTAGCAATGGCCAGCTGTATTATAGACGCAATTCCAAACGTAATGCTGATCATTTGCATTTAGTTAATACCGAGTCTTTGACTATTAAAAGTATGAATCCGGTTAATATGTTGCCCATAAGAGAGGGTTTCAATTATACGCTATTTACGGATGAGGATTCACTCAATGCCATTTGCACTAATCGGGATGTAAGTTGGAATAGTTTTTTTTTAAAGAAAAATATAATATTTTTCATGGTTTTGTTTTTCAGGACACTTTAGTGGTGCGCCGTTTGAATATCTGCCATCAAAATAGATCTACTGAACGTGACAATTCCATACCCGTGGAGTTGCCCTTACAATTATCACGCAAACGTTTTCGTACTTTAGGTTATGCCACCTTTGAGGAGGAAGTTTTAAATCAAAATCAAATATTAAAGATACAAGCTTCTTATAACATCTTTGAGCCTAAAATTCCTAATGATGTGGATTTACAGGAAATAGTTTGTGGCAAAGAGTTTGGTTTGGTTAGTGCCACTAATGGCAAAGTTTTCTATTATGGCAAATCGGTGGCCTTGGGTTTGAAATCCGTGGGACGTACTCCCATTATGAAATTAACTGAATTAATAATATCAAAAATATCACGTATAACCCACATAGCGGTGGGTCATGATGGCATACATGCTTTGTTGGTAAATGATGATGGTACGGTGTATTTTGCTGGAACAGCCAGAAGAGGAGAGGATGGTGACATTTCCAAGAATAGACGACAACCCAAGGCGGTTAAACCTAAGAAAATGACTAAAATCGAGGGACATTTTATTGTTCAAGCGGCTTGTAACAATGGCACCTCTGCTTTTGTTACCAAAACTGGTAAATTAATCATGTTTGGCAAGGATACTGTGCACTGTGATGCCCAAGGTTTTGTTAGTGATTTTTCGGATCAACATATACAAAAGGTTGCCTTGGGTAAGGCCCATTGTGTGGCCTTAAACGCCAAGGGTCAAGTATTTACTTTTGGCCTTAATAACAAGGGACAATGTGGTCATGTTTATAATAAAACTAAAGATGCAAGTGTTTCTTCTTCGGTGGATAGTGGTTCGGGAAAATTGTCTACTCCTTTAAAGAAATTGAAATTTGATTTCTCTAATCTCTGTGATTATGATGATCACAATGTTATACAGGGCCAGTGTAGAGTTTGTGTGGTTTGTCGTGAATGTACCGGCTATAATGTGTCCTGTGTATCGGCTTTGAATGTGCCCTTTGAGGAAAGAGTTGCGGGAGCGTAAGTTAATTTAAAGATTTGAAAATTCTTAATAATTTTTCTTGTATATTAATCTGTTTATATTAAAATTAAAGTCCCTGTGCTTGTGGCCATGGCGATGCTGGCTGCTCGAAATGTGGTCTGTGTGCCTCCTGCATTGCTGTACAGGAAGCTGAAAATGGTAATTATGGTTTAAAATTTTTCGAACATATTTAAATGTTTAAATTCTCTTCCAGTTTCTGACACCAAAGATACCAATAAACAACTAAATCGTCAGCGTTCCAAAAGTCTTATCATGCGTCGCAAGGAAAAGAAAACTGCTGATGAGGCCTCTAGTCATGCTGAAGAGAATCCTCCTCGAGTGGCTCCTCTAGCACCACAACTCCTTAGCATGCCCTCCACCTCACCGGTAGTACAAGTATCTTGTGGTTTACATCATACCGTTGTACTTACCCTTTCTGGTGAAGTATACGCCTTTGGTAGCAATCAATTTGGTCAATTGGGTACCGGGGATATGCAGCCAGTTAGTGGTCCCGTGCGCATAAGTGTAGCAGGAAATGTTTGTCAAGTGGCTGCTGGCAGTAACCACACTGTGTTGTTAACCTATAAAGGTTTGGTTTATACTTTTGGTAATTTTCAAAAGGGCCAACTCGGACGTTTGCCTCATGACTTTCAACAAAAGGGTTCCAGCAATGCCGACAGGGATAAGGCAAACAATCCTGTAAGCTTAAGAGAAGCTTTGGGTAATAATGAACCCGCCCCGGAGAAACCCACAGTGGCCCAATTAATAGCTCAAAGGCAAAAGATATTGTGGCATTGTACTCCAGGAGTAGTATTGTAAGTATTGCCTTTGACTAATAATAAATAATATAATTAATAATATTTTATTCCAGTGGCATTGGTCCCAGTTTTGGTAAAAAAGCCACCTGGATAGGAGCCAGTGGTGATCAGACATTTATCAAAGTCGATGAGTCCCTCATAACAACACAAATGTTGCCCAAAATGAATGTGGCCGCCAATAAGAAAACTATTTGTAAGTTATTAAAACTATTCTATCTTCATTTTCCTAATTCTCTTACATTTATTTTTAGTAATGATTCCCACCATACCCTTAACATTCCATGCCATTTCCATTAATCGTCGTGATGGCAATTGTACCGCCCACTACTTCAATCAAGTTGATTTTGTTAAAATGGAACATGCCAATAAACCCAAACTTGTACCGGAAGTTAATCAAAATGTTGATCAGAATATGGTGCAAATGGGTCCCTCCTCCTCTTCGAATGCCATAAATGAACAAATGTCACGCAGCATGCATGAGGCAAGAAATCAATTATTTGATTTACAAGATAACCACATGCATAATGCCTCTTCATCGCAACGTAAGGACAGACAACGTGGTTCTTTAAATACCATCTCGGCTGGTTCGCTGAACACAGCCATGCCTTCTTCGGTGGTTTTAAGTGATAAAAGTTATTCAAAGTTGGCGTTTGCCATGGACCCTATGTACAATGTTTTATGGGTTTATGATAGTAATCAAAAGAGGGTGTTGAGCTATAATGTTTTGGCCAGTGAGATAATGGCAACAGCAGCGGTAAAATTATAACTATTTTAAACTTATCAAAGTTTTTATAATATTTGTCTTCTTTTTATAGAATTGTTCCAATTATCATGCTTTGTTGACTCCGGAATTGTCTTTACCAAATAAATTTGATTCACGCATCTCACGTTTACATGCTTCTCTCAATCTTTTGGCTTGTTTGGATGTCTTGACCTCTGCCCAGGATGTGATGTAATTTGTTTTAGTTAAATATAAAAGTTTTTTACTAATTAGTTTTCATTCTAGTCCTGCTTGCTTTGAGGATGTTACACCCAAAGAGGCCAATCAAAATAAGGATACCAAAGATAATCAATATCAGGTGGTTAATCGTTTCGATAATTTCGGTGGCGGTTGGGGTTATTCCGGTCATAGTGTGGAGGCTATACGTTTTTCAGCTGATACCGATGTGGTAATATGTAAGTAAAACTTTCAGTTCTAGTTCAGTTCTTCCTCTTGAGATTGCTTTATCAATCTTTAAACTTTTATATCACATTTCAAGATGGCTTTGGCATGTTTGGCGGACGTGGAGAATACTCCTGCAAACTTAAACTTTACGACATGGGTTCCGATGGTGGTGGTTATGAAAAGGAAGGCACACTCATCAGTGAAACTAAAGAAGTGCCCTTTGAATGTCCAGCTCGCAGTAAATTTCATATATTATTACCCAAACCCATTAATACCACAGCTGGAAGATGGTATTTGGTATGGGCACGTATAGCAGGACCCTCTTCAGATTGTGGTTCATGTGGCCAGGCAACTGTCACCACCGAAGATCAGGTAGTCTTTACCTTTAAATCATCTAAGAAAGCCAACAATGGTACCGATGTTAATTCGGGACAAATACCAGCCATACTCTATCGTTTAGTAACCCAGGAAACTAAACCTTCGACGGCTCCCATTGATATAGATCCTGTAAAAAGAGTAACCAAAGAGTTTGCTAATTCAGTGACCAAGGAATGCTTCGAAAGCTTAGTATTAATGTTAAATTGGTCTTGGGAAGCTTTTAAAAGTTATTTACGCGAACAGCGCGATATGTCACATCAGCTACAAGTTAAACAATCTTTGGAATATTTAATACACGTCAATAAATCCTGTTTGAGATTATTGAGAAAATATACCAATGAAATTTATCCACAATATGGACAAACTGATGAAATAGCAGAATATATATCAAGTGGAACACAAAAACCCTTAAGTAATCGTTCCGAGAAAGATATTAGTAAATTTACTAAACCTTATAATTCAATAACCAAATATTTTAATGATAATAACATTGGAGGCAGTCAAATGACCATGAGAAAATCCAATATGGAAAACATACAATTGGCAGAGTGTATTGGCAATGTGAGAGCCATGTTAATAGGCATCTTTTGTGATGACTTATTCCAGGATATAACAAATGATGAAGCTTTAAGCATGGCTTTAGAGATACTGGATGAATGTCACATTAGTTTTGTGGCTTGTTTTGGAGTGTTCTATCCCACTTCCACTTTGAAATGGAATTGTTTGTGTGATTTATTATCGGAAATGGATAAGGTGAGAATTAATGTTATAGAATAAAAGTTATAATTTATTTATTTCCCATTTCAGCAAGGTACTTTACACTCTCGTCTATTGAGTGCCATTTTGGCAGGGTTGTGCTCACCCACGGTTAAACTACGTTCTACGTTTGCTTTGCTAAGCCAGGGAGGCGATCGTCAATCTATTATTAGTCCTAGTGATAATTCTGGTTTACCCATGCTTTCATCTACTGACTCTCATCAATATCCCATTTTGGTTGAGCAAATGATTTATCGTACACAACAGGAAAAACGTGATTTTCTTAGTAATTCTTGGACTTTTAAGGATGTTTTAATGCGTTTATTGGATATTATAGCAAATCCTATTCGAGATCGTTTGGAAAATATCTACAATCGCAGTGTCCATTATAATTATTCTAGTAGCAGTTTCTGTTCCAAAGATTTCAATCAGGGACTTATCGATAATTGTTGCCATTTGTTGGCGCGAGTGTTGGCGGAAATTGTCTATCAAACGGCAATAGGAGATGTAAGTAATATTTAGTTATTTTGAGGATATAGTTCAGACGACAGTTTGCAGACTGTAGTCCAAACTAAAGTTAGTCTATAGTCTAGTCATTCTATAGTAGAGCCTAGACTTTAGCTTAGTCGAAAGTCCAGTGTAGTCCAGAGTCCAGACTATAGTCTAGTCATTCTATAGTAGAGCCTAGACTATAGCCTAGTTGAAAGTCTAGTCTAGTCCAGAGTCCAGACTATAGTCTTGTAAAACTTTTTCGTTAAAAATTAATTTTGCAAAACTTTTATTTCTTACTTCAACATTATGACTTCAGTACGACAAAATGTTTATACCGCCACGTACTTTACATTCGTCTGGCTCACGTTTTGGACGCTGTGATCAAAGTCGCACTTGGAATACGGGCAGCTTTGGCCCAGATGCTATAGCCTTCTCCGTAGATCGTTCTGGCATTGCCATTGCGGGTTGTATGGTTTATTCGGGTTCTGGCAGTTATGAATATCAACTAGAGCTATTATATGATAATTCCGGAGATGTACAACAACCTCTGCAGCAGCAACAACATAAATGGGAAACTTTGGAATCTGTATCGGGTACTTACGATCAGGCAGCAGTACAAAATGATATGGCTGAAATAAAATTTGAAAGATCAGTGTTGATAAAGGAAAATACTCGCTACGCTTTAAGATTTTGTTCTCAAGGTCATCGCACCTGTTCGGGAGATGGTGGTATGCCTTCTATACGAGGTCCCTGCGGCTCCACTTTTCATTTCTATGCTTGTGATTTGAGTTTCAATGGCACCAATGCTCATCGTGGTCAAATACCTTGTATACTCTACTACAGTACACCCATTAAACAAGATTCCAATGCTACAGGCAATGCAGCTGGTTCTACTTGTCCTCTAAATGGTGCTAACGATACTACTTCTCTTACCAATGAAATAACCATGCGTGATACCGCTTTACAAATAGCTACCGATATCACCAAAAAGTGTACCGAACTTTTAGTTTTGGCGCGCAATACTTTAGCCGCTTCCTTATCACCCTCAGACAATTCCTCCAATCATTCACAAACCATAGATTCAGAACATAATATAACTCCCATTGAAGAACATATGGATATTAATTGGGCCAATAATTCGCGCACTTCTCATCTACCCGCTGAAGCTGGTGGCATATCAGCAGCTAGAGATTTATCCAAACGTTTGGAATCCTTTTCGAAGGGTATCATAGAAACTTTGAAATTTGAAAAGAGGTCCACAAATCCCTTTGAAATGGAAATTGAAATTGGTGCCACCGAGATTCATCCCAAAGACATAATGATTGAGGAAAGTTCTTCTATACATGATTTGAATTTCCGTAATGGTCAGATTACCAAGTTTAATGGTAATGAACGTGTTGGTGCTGAGGCGGTGGAAAGTTTAATGGGTGCTTCTCAATATAATCCGGCCGGACTTATAGGTCGAACTGATTCGGAGGAGACACCTGCACAAATGGCAGCTACTCAAATTTTGGATGTTTTCAATGTAGGTTCATCGAATCTCTTTCATACCCTGTTGCCATTGGTTTATGCTCATATTGCAAATTTGGCTTGTAATGATGCAAAGGTGAGTTTTTTTTTTGCAATCTTGTTTAAAAACCTAAAAATTTTTAAACTTCTGTCTTCCACCAGAGCTCCGTTCAAATATTAGGTCTAATCAAGGACATTTTACCACACATCGCCGCTCTTAACCAACTAAGTTCCACAAAAGATGGCTGCAATCAAACCAACATATCCGTACCACGCCTACGACCCATCTTTGAATCTCTCAATAAAAAGCTAGAGCTTAGCAATAACGAGGAATGTGGCAATGCCGTAAATGTCACCGATGCCATCAATCAACAGCAACCATCCAATGATAATCCACCAAGTGAGGTGCCTACAACCAGCAATCATTATTGTGTAGTGGAAAGTGAACATCCCTATAGAAGTGCATCAATCAATTGTTATCGTGTTGAATTTCCCGCCTGTGTACAATGGTTGACTATTGAATTTGATGCCCAATGTGGTACAGCTCAATTGGAAGATTATTTATTGGTCTCTTTGCCTGTTAGACCGATGACAAGTACAGAAACGACACCAGCCAATGAAGATTATTATGATATATTGGATAATAATGTCAAGAGCAATAGGGGTGTACAAAGTAAAAGTGCCAATCTAATGAGTGCCTGTTATAAGTTATCGGCCCAAAAAGAGGGACAATCAAAAAATGAACCCGATTGGTTTGTGGTGAAGAAATTTAATACGTAAGTTGTTTTAAAACAGGAGCAGGAAGCAGTAGCTTAAAAATCTGCATTTGTTTATGCTTTTAGACCCTCCAACTGGTTGCAAAATGTTATGATATTACCCGGCAATTGTGTGGAGTTTTCTTTGGAAACTTCTTCTTTGTATGCCCAAGATCCTCATGTTAATCGTTATGGTTTTAAATGTTTGGTAGTGGGCTATGATAATCCGGTTTTGGTAAGTGTTATTTAAATAATTTGTTAATATTTTTTATAATTATTTTTGTTGTTTTAGTTAAATGGCAACAATTCTTGTTTGGTGCGCATAGAACAGGAGTTATCCTATTTGGGTGGCATGTGTAGTGCTAATTTAATGAAGAAAAATTTAAGTTTACCAGGTAATTGGAAATATTGACATCTCTTGTTATTATTTTTGTTAATAAATTTAAATTTTACATAATTTTAGATGACAAAGATGTCGAAGATTTATCTAGCATTAGCGAGACTATTAGCACACATTTTGCTTTACTTTCCAAAGGTTTAGCTTTAGCTGAACCTGAACTAAGCATACATCAGGCCTTGGAATCATATTTACCTATAGGGTAAGTCAATATTTATTTAAAATTTTTTTATATTAAACAAAAGATTTTAATGCTTTTTTAATACTTAGTTATGTCTCAATAAAAATATGGTCCTTTAGATTACTTTAAATTATTATAAACAAATATTGTTAGAGTAAACAAATAATTTACTTTAAAACTAAATCATGTAAAACAATGAAATGTTTATTTTTAAATATACAAACAAATACTTTAGTTTTTATGACTAATTAGTAAGAAATTCTTTATTATTTTTTTTTTAATTCTTGAGCTAAAATGTTTGTTTTTGTTGAAGACTTTGGAATAATATTTACTTTTCCACAATATTTAAAACAAAATATTTCAGCAGGTGTCTGCTGCTCGTGCGGTTTTATGAAGTAATTATGACTTTTTAAGTCAAATAACAATTGGTTCATGTCACGTCTTGTTGTAGGCAATTTAGGTCAGATTTTTAATCAACTTTATACTTTAACTTAAGTTATAAGTTAGTTAATTAAGCCGTTTTAACCGCAAATCTGACTCATAATTCATTTGAACAATCATTTATATTAGCTTGTGTTCCAGTCTAAAGGACAGATCCAGATCAGATCCAAGAAATTGTGCTTCTTCAACTGAACGATTGTATAAATATTCTCAGCTTAGCTGGAAACAATCTTGTCTGTTATAGACGCAACATACAAATATTTCTAAGAACGCAGAACTGAGTGCGTTTCCATTAAAGCTATCTAGATCAAATGTATCTAGTATCTGCTCATATCTGTCTGATATTTATATGAGGCTACCAATACCTAGTGAGCTTCGCTACCCATAAAACCATATAAATTTAAAACCCAATAAATAAAAACTCACGTTTTTGAAAGATTCAGGCTCTAATAGTTTCCCAGATATGCATGTTTGCCAAGTTTTTACAAACGTTTATTTGAATTTCGATATATGAAGTTTGTATTTAATTCATAATAGGAGGTGCCAAGCCCCCTATTGAAAGTGTGTTCATTCATATTCACCTGAATATCAAAGTTCTTCATGCAAAATTTGAGTATTGTAGCTCTAATAGTTTCACAGATATACGAATATTTGTATTTAATTTATATGAGAACTACGCCCCTAATGTATGTCCTCCTATTTTCAACCAAAGTTCCACATGGATGTTAATAGTTCCCAGATAAATGATTTTTTATATTTAATTCATATGGGAGGTGCCACTCCCCCTATTGCTAGTCCACCATCATTAAATTCGAAAACATTTTCTGCCATAAACCGTTCTACGCACGGAAATGCGTTCAAGATGTACCAGATGGCGTATAAATACGATTGATCATTTTAAAGTCTGGTTTAATTTGATCTATTAATATTCAACCTTGAACGCTAGAACCTTTTCTGCCACAGCCACCACTGTATATTCCCAGTAGTTCGACAGAGTCAATACATCCGAAATAGTCTATGATTTCCGCTAATGTCTAACCACCTGATTGACTCTAATTCGTCGTTCGTCACGGTTGTACTCTTTGTTAACGACGGTTAAGATAATCGTCACTTTAGTGTCCCTTTTGTAAGCGAGAGATTGGATACTTAAAAAACAATATAAGCTTTTTGTAATCTATTGGGTGACGATTGACTTCCTCCTCTTACCTAGGCATTCGGTGTCTAGGTCTAACCCTAAGCGGTAGGTTAAATCCGACCGAACTGCTGGGTTTAAATGATCTGAGGTATTGAAAGTTTAAGGAGTCGACATTATCATACGCATTCATCATTTCAATGCTTATCTTCTAGATTTACAGAAGATCTACAATAAAACTTTAACAAACATTTATGTTCCTTGACCGCTATAATCTATTCTATCACTGTCTATAACGTGATTTATAATGGTGAAAGTATCTCTAAATTTCATCACTTTTGGTTCTATTTAACAAACATGATCAATTGATCGTTATTAAAACTGATATCATGAAGATCTTATGTCGAGTTTTACCCCCATTATTGCAATGTTTGATTATATTTTATCGTATGGTTAAAGTGACAGTTTTCATACAAAAATTATTCTAACCGGCAGAATATCTACCGGTTCAACTATAACCGGAGTTGGAGTTAACGGGCCTAAGTGTCTCAAACTTTCCTTGTACTAAAATGTTGGGTCAAACGGTAACAACAACTCTACAAAACAAACTGTTTATCAGTTTATATTTTCAAAAGCCGTAAGCCCTGAAAGGTTTTTTGTTTAAAACGTATACCTTAAGTAAGATGTTTATTCCCTTAATTCCGAAATATTTTAACAATTTGTTGTCAAAACCTATTACGGCTGTATGGGGGCTAGGCTTCGACCTTGGGTTTCAAATTTCATCAAATTATGTTGAAAATTGCGAGCTGTAGCGTGCACACAAGGTTAACATGGGCATAATCGAATCAGAAAGTGTTTCTGAGCCGATTGTTATACTTTAAGGTGGGTGTAGGACCAATATTTTTGGGTATTACAAACATCAGTACAAATGCATAATATCTCATCTTATTTGAATAGAAAATTGATCAAGATCTCCTTTAACTATAACATAATATTAAAAACATATAAACTCAAGCTTTTAGGTTCGAAGGACCATATTGTAGTTTAGTTTAAAATTTTTAATATATTTTATTAATATACAACTTATTATATTTACATATATGATATTAAATATTTTTTATAACATAAATAATAATAAAAACTATAGGTAGGTATTATATAAATTTACATATTTTTTAACAATTAAAAACAAAAATAATTTGGCTTTCATACATTTTACAACTATTACAATACATTTATGTTTCTTTCTTTTTTTAAATTAAATATTTGGTGGAATTACGGTGTTCTCTAGCATCTTTAATGAGGAGTAAAAGGTGTTGTTATTTCTAGATTTCGGTTTATGTTTAATTTGTAATTAAAAGTCAGTCTTCAATAGTCCCGCATTTTCGATTTGATAAACTATTTGTGTTTCTTTATAGGTTCTCGGTTCCGGTTGTATAATATCCATTTTTCTTTTAGCTTTACGTTTCTTAGCCATATATAAACATACTACTGTGGCTATAATGGCTATAATAATTATTAAACTTATTACACCGATTACTATATACAACCAATACGAATGCTGTTGACAATCTGTATCAATAATTTTACTTAAAACTCTATACTCTTCATGAGGATTTGTATTATAATTTTGTTTAAAATATATAAAATCTTTAAAATGTTGAAAGAATTGCTCTTTAGCTTTGGGTGGCTTTTGTTCATAATCGATTTCATGACAGGAATAGGAATTATCATAGTTTAATTGTTTAAGGTTTAAAGTAAATTTCTCATTGAAATCGAGTGGTTGTACGGTATGAGGAAAATGTATGGTATTGTTGCTAAAACGCAACTCTAACTTTTCACTCCCAACATAGTCACGATGTACCATAATGCCTGTGGAAGAGAGATATTTTGTAAAATTTTGTTGAAAGTGAGAGGGTGAAAGTAACTTACCCTTAAAAGCTATTTGACTTGTATTGCCAAAATAATTATCTCTAATAATTGAGCTCTCTTTAACATAAACCTCCAGCCATTCGGCATCTACACTTTCGAAAAAATTATTGGCTATAATTAATTTGGAGATCACTGGAAATGAATTAAGGATTATAAATATTTGATGAAAGTTTTCTTTAATAAAGAAAATTGATCAATATTCTCTAGGAATGTCAAACTGTTTGAATTTTTTACCAGAATCTTTAAATAAACTCTTAAATAGAAAATTGATTGTATGTTATAAATTTACTTACATTTAAATGAAAATGCCCTTGAATGGACTTCTCTAAATCTAAGATTATTTAATAGTAATAAATGTGAAACTTCCACATCATAGAAAGCTTTCGATGGCACATTTGATAAAAAGACACAATTTTGTAAATCAATCTTTTCCACCACAAACTTTTTGAAAGCCTGTAAAAGAGTAAAATAAATAATAAAAAAAAATAATTTATTAAAATAATAACGTGTGAGTAGGCTACAGTTAGTGATATACTATATAGTATCTTTTAAAAATCATGGGGTTTTTAATAGAGTATGCTATAAAAGTGATTAATAAATTTGAATTTAAGTTTGGCATAAGACCTTTCAAATGATTTAATTGACAAGATAAAGTCAACATGTTGATTAGAACTGTCCCCAAAGAACTAGTTACGGGGCTAGTTACCTTTCCTGTAGAGTAATTTTAAACGTTCGACAATTACTTTTTATTATAATTATTACTTTAAACTCTTGCTTGACCAGAGTAATAATTTAAAACAAGGAAAACAATATCTAGACACATTTATTAAATTATTTACTTTTACTCGGCCTTTTTCTCCGCCACCAACTGTATACACATACTCAATGTATTGCATAATAATCACAATAAACTAATAGTAATAAAATAATAACTTTACCTGTGATTCAATTCTATTTATTTGTACATTTTCCATTTTAAGCAGCAAAGCATTTGATTTCAATATGGTAAAACCAAATGGATTTATGGTCTCAATAGAACTGTCAACAAATGTGATTTCTTCGATTTGACCATTAATGGCATGTGAATCTATAAGTTTAACTTTAACCTGGAATAGAGAAAAGCCATATAAAACATGACATACATACATATATATAGTAAATTTGCAACGAGTTCTATATAAAGTTCTACAAATCAAGTAATTCAATTAAAATTCTGTCATAAATAAAAATTTAACTTTACGCCCTCGTCTTTCTATATAATGAAAGCAAACATTTGTATGACGTTTTAATTGAGTCAATATTTTCTTATATTTTTCATAATTTCTCAAAAAAAAAAGAAATGTAGTAAAACTTGCACTTAATTAACACTTGTTGCTGGCATTCCTGGCACCAGAGACTAGGGGGACTGAAACAGGGTTTAATAGCAAGTGCAGTTGCATCACTTAAGCAAAGTCTATTTGACATCACTTGCTCTATAACAAACGTGTTTTAAATCTAAGATTCTTTCTTAATAAATTAAAACAAAACTAAAGCGGATGAAATTTTCAATACTTTCTTTGTTATAAATATTTAAGAATTTTTAATATTTGGAATTGTCTTATAACTTACCTTTTCGAAAGCTATTATTAAAGGTGTACTACTGCTATAGAGTGGAAACGATAAAGCATATTTATTCAATACTAAATTTTCAACATTTTTAAAGGTAATTTTACGCAAACCCTGAGTTTCTTCTAAAGCATTAGAATTAATTGTTAAAGATTTACAATTGCGTATTTCCATTTGAAATGCTGAACCAATTAGGTGGGGTAGAAATAAGTGCTGAAAAGAAATTAAATTACGTTTTAAATATTTTATAAAAATAAGTATAACACAATTTAATATTGTGTTTTAATAAAAGTAAATTTTTTTAAACAATAACTCTCTCATACAGATAAATTTCCTTTAAATAAAAAATAGATCAAGATCCTTTTTTAGTGTATAAGTGTATTACAATTTTCTAAAACCTAAAAATGTATCGAAATTTTGTTTAAAAAAGGCACTAAAGCGTTCAATAAAGAAAGTTTCGAAGAAAGATTCGGATATTATTTAAACAGAATCATCGATCAAGATCTCTTTGATCACGATCATTTAAAGAAACTTATCAAAATCTTATTTTAAGAGAAAATTTATAAAAAATCATCTTCTAAATAGATAATATACACAAATTTTCTTTAAATAGATTATTGATCAGGATCTTATATAAGCAGAAGATTGATCAAGATCTTGATTAAATATAACATTTATGAAAATCTTCCTTTATTGGGAAATTTATCATATTTTTTTAAATAAAATATTAATCAAGATCTCTTTGATCACGATCTTCTTAAAAAGGTGATAAAATTTTTCTTAAAATAGAAAATTTGTCATAATTTTCTTTAAATAGAATATTGATCAAGACCTCTTTGATCACAATCTTAAAAAAAACTGACAAAATCTTATTCTAATAGAAAACTGATGAAAATTTTCTTTTAAAGGAACATATACCTATATTTTCTATAAATAGAATAGTGATCAAGATCTTATTTAAACAGAAGATTGATCAATATCTTGTTTAAATAGAAAATTTATGAAAAGCTGAAAAATTTATCATAATTTGTTTAAATTAAATATTAATCAATATCTCTTTGATAACAATCTTCTTAAAAGACTGATAAAAATCTCTTATCAAACTCTTTTTTTAATAGAAAACTGATAAAAATCATCTTTTAAAAGATTTCCTTTAAATAGATTATTGGTCAAGATCTTATTTAAACAGAAGACTGATTAAGATCTTGTTTAAAAAGAAAATTTATGAAAATCTTCCTTTAATGGGAAATTTATTATAATTTCTTTAAATAAAATATTAATCAAGATCTTTTTGATTACGATCATCTTAAAAAACTAATAAAAATTTACTTTTAATTGAAAAATATTGAATAGATCCCTTTGATCACAATCTTTAGCAAAATTTATCAAGATCTTATTTAAATAGAAGATTGGCCAAGATTTTGTTTATGAAAATCTTCCTTTAATGCGAAATTTATCATAATTTTCTTTAAATAAAATATTCATCAAGATCGTTTTGATCACGATCTACTTAAAAAATATATAATTATAAAATTTTCTTCAAATCGAATATTGATCAAGGTCTTCTTTTAATAGATATTTGGTAAATATTTTATATAAATAGAATATACCACAAGATCGGTTAAAACAGAAAATTGATCATGATTTTTGTTAAATGGAATAATGATTATGTTCATTCTAAAGTTTAAACCGAGCAAAAACTTTTTTAATAGAAAATTTATCAAGATCTTCTTTAATCAGAACATTGATCAAAAGTTTCTTTAAATTGAATTTGGATCAAGATCTTATGGAAGCAGTAAATTGATCAAGATATATTTGATCACGATCTCTTTTTTTAACTAATCAATATACTTTTTACAAGAATATTAATCAATATTTTCTTTAAATAGAATAATGGATCAAGAATTCTGCTAAGGATTTTCTTAAAGGTTAAAAACTGATCAAGATATTCATTCAATCTGGTTAAGATTTTCTGTAAATAAGATATTGATCAAAATGTTTTTTAAACAAAAAAAAAAGTATCAAGATCTTTAAAGAAATCAGAATATTTATCAATATTTTGTTTAAAAAGAAAATTGTCCAAGATCAGTTTCAAATAAAAAAATTCATCAAGATTTTCTATAAATAGAATAATTATCAAGAAAACTGGATACAGGATAATTCTCAACTTTCCAAGAAAATTGCTCAAGATCTCCTTAAAAATGAAAACTGATCAAGGGTTTCTTTTTAATGGATATAAAACTGATCTAAATTTGTTTTAAATAAATAGAAAAATATATTTCAATTAAAATTTTTAATTAAAAATTTATCAAAATTTTCTTTAAACAGAGAATAGATCAATACGTTCTTTAAATTGGAGATATGTAGATCAATACCATTTGTATACCCACCATCAAAAAGGATGGGGGGTATATTGTTTTTGTCATTCCGTTTGTAACACATCGAAATATTGGTCTAAGACCCATAAAAGTATATATATTCTGGGTCCTTATAGGATTCTATAACGATCTAGCCATGTCCGTCCGTCTGTCTGTCTGTTGAAAACACGGGATAAGCTAGAGAGCTGAAATTTTGCATAAACACTTTCATGCAGTTTGTTTGGTCCACGATTTCACCTAGACCCCATATAAGGTCCCCTTCAGAAAATTACTATAACACTTATAACTCGCTTCAAAATGCCAGTACAGCAACGAAATTCGACATAAACAAGTTTTATTGGAACTGAAATCTCTCTGTCAAATTTTATGAGGATCGGTCAATGATTGACCCTACCTCTCATATAAGGTCCCCTTGAAAAAATTACTTTAACGCTCCTAACTCGCGTCAAAATACCAGTACAGCGACGAAATTGGACATAAACAAGTTTTATCAGAATTAAAATCTGTCTGTCAAATTTTATGAGGAGCGAACCCTAACATAAGGAACCCTAATATAAGGTCCCCTTCAGAAAATGACTTTAACGCTCATAACTCGTTTCAAAATGCCAGTACAGCGACGAAATTGAATATGAACAAGTTTTATCGGAATTAAAATCTCTCTGTCAAATTAAAATTTAGAATAAATGAGTAAATTGTGATAATAAATAACAAAAGGATCGATTCGTATCGTATAGGACCACTTTTCGAAATTCACTTGAAATATATTACATATATTTTGATGGTTATGATGATTATATGAAATGGTTTGATGATTATATGAAATTCGGCATAGCCGAAGATCTTCTGTAAACAGAATAGTATTTAAGATCTTTTTTTGTATAAAAATATTATTAAGATCTTTTTCCAATAAAATAATTGATCAATCTGGTCTTTTTGTGGTAAAGTGATCAATTTCTTTTTATGAAATCATGATCAAACATGTTTTTTCTCAAAACTGATTAGATTTTTAGTTAATCAAAGTTTATATGTTATTTGCATAAATGCAATGCAAAGCGATCGGTGATCCACATGATCTTTTAAAGGAAAATCTTAAATTTATTTCTTGTTCTCTTGAAACGAGTTCTCATTTAAACTTTATTTCACACTTACCCTCTCAACATTGTGACAATCACATGTAAATTGTGTATCAAATGGTATGCAGGTTACATTGACTTCTTGTAGATCCTCCTGATTAACATAATAACCATTTTTGGCGGCAGCTGCTGCTACATGATGATGACATCCTTGCCATAATAATATTAGAATCACTGCACCAATTATGGAAGAAATATTTGAATGACATATCGTTGTTAACTTAACGTTTTTGTTGGTTTGTTTTATCGTTGTTGGCATTTTGCATTATTTACACAATCCATGTGATATTTTTTTTACATTTTACAATAACGAAAACGAATTATAGAGAACTATGGTGTCACTGTAAATGGTCAAAAATGCAAATTATTAAATTAATTTAATAAAATTCTTTTTTTTAATAGATATTTTAATTAAGTTAAGGTTGTTATTTTAATAAAATGTATTTTCTTTTTTTAAACACAAACGTTGACATTTAGACTGACAGTTGCGGTTTATACTATGCCTTCACGTTCATTCGCCTACATTTGGAAATTTATACAATTACATTTATAATTTCATATCTCCGAGTTTTGAAATAATTATTACTCTAGGTACTTGTGTAGATTTACTGAAATAAATTTCATTTGTCACAGTGCCCAGTCCCCTTTCCCTATTGTTTCCCATATCTTAATGTTCCAACAGATGTTTGTTTATCTTATCAGTTGAGGTTTTTTCTTTATTAAGTTTGTGTTCATGTAGGAGTTGTGGTCTTTATCTAACTTTTAGATAAGAATGTACATATGTATGTATTCATATTTTTTTTTAACTATTGCTTATGAATCATTTTTACTGCTTTACGCTTAATATTTTTGTGACAAATAATGAAAATATTTTAATATTTTTTATTTTGTAAGGAGAACATTTTAGATCAAATTACGATTAGAATTTCTAGGAATGAAAATTTACCTCTTTATTTTATTATTCATAATATAAATTTGATTAAAAAAAGGGTTGAAAGATTTCGAAATTTCGTTTCTCCTTTAGAAAGGTGAATTGTCACAATATTTTGCTCTTAACTTTAATCTCTACGCAATGTTTTCAAAAAATAAATTAAATAGAAAATTTATCAAAATTTTCTTAATATAGAATATTGATCATGAACTATTTGATCACGATCTTCTTTAAAAAAAACTCATCAATATACTTTTTAAAATAATATTATTTCATATTTTCTTTAAATAGAATAATGATCAAAAAATCTGCTCAGGATTTTCTTAACATAGTAAACTGATCAAGATATTCATTCAATCTGGTCAAGATTTTCTTTAAATAAAATATTGATCATAATTTTTTTTAACGAAAAAAAAAAAAAAAAAATTATGAAGATCTTTAAAGAAATTTAACAAAATCGTTCTCAACATGTTATTTAATCGAAAAACTTATCACAATTTCCTTTAAATAGAAAATTATCCAAGATCATCTTCAAATAGGAAATTGATCAAGATTTTCTTTAACTGCTCGAGATCTCCTTAAAAATGGAAAACTGATGAAGATATTCTTTGGTAAAGATTTTCTTCAAGATCTCTTTAAACATAAAATTGAACAAAATCATTTCTAAATAAAACAATTAGGAAAGTATAGTCGGACATGACCGACTATATGATACCCTACACTATGGGTATATTTTAAAAATGATTTATTTTTCATAAATAAACTTTTATATTGAATTTTTACCTTAATTCCGATGTATTTAAGCAATTTATTGATGCAAAACTAAATTTCTAAAAGAGCCTTTATATGGGAGTTAGGGTCAAATATGGGCCGATCCTCAAGAAATTGGGAAGAGGTGCGTAATTTTATATAAAGGTTAGTTGTGCTGAACTTCATCGCGATACTAATGGTTATAAGTAAATTTTTGGACGTTTAAGTTATGTTTTAAAGGGGGGTTTGTATGCGGGTTAGGGTCAAACGACGGCCGATCATTATAAAAATTGGCATGGTCATTTATGCCTAGATAGAACTTAGTTGTGCCAATTTTGTAGTATATTTGACGTAGTCATGAGTTAAAACCCCTAAATCTGAAGATAAGGTTGTATGGGGGCTAGGTGAAATAATGGACCGATTTCAACCATTTTCAATAGGCATCGCTTCCCACAAGGTTTACATGGACAGCCAGCCAGCAGGATAGACGGACGGACGGACATGTCTTAATGAACTCAGAAAGTGATTCTGTAAGTGATTTCTATAAATATAAAATTAATCAAAACTTTCTTAAATAGTATTAAATTTATTTTGTTACTTCAATTATTTATGAACACAAAAGTTTTTTTATCTTAAAACTTAAAAAATTTTAAATTATATTTCATATCTCAGGATTAAATTAGATAAACATTAAAATCTTCACTGCAGAGAGAAATATATTTAAATGTAAATCTAAAAAAAAATTTATGAAACTATTAGTACTAAAAGTATAAATTTCACTGGCATAAAAAACTTTCCATAAGAAAACATTTTAAAAATTGAGAAGTTTGCAATTAAAATTTTTAAAATCAAAATTTTCAATCAGAAAATGGTTCGAGATTACATTTAATAGAAAATTGACCAAGATCATTAAACAGAAATGAAAATATTTTACAAATTATGAATTTTTAAATTAAATTTCTTAAGATCATAATATTTAATCAGAAAATGGGTCGAGATCACATTGAAAATAAAAAATTGACCAAGATCAGCAAATAGAAAATTTATTAAAAATATTATTTTCCCAGAAAATAGATCAATAAAGTTTGATCGATCAGCAAATAAAAAAGATAATTTTTTACAAATTAAGAATTTTGCATTAAAATTTTCAAGATCATAATATTTAAGCAGAAAATGGGTCGAGATCACATTGAAAATGAAAACTGACCTAGATCATCAAATAGAAAATTTATTAAAAATATTATTTTCAATGATCAATGATCATAATTTTTAAATTCTTCTTAAAGTAAAAAAATTGATCAAGTTTTTCTTAAACAGAAAATTGATCAAGATCTTTTTTAAATAGAAAAATTATCAAAATTTTCTGTAAAAAATTCTTTTTTTTCTAAATAGAAAATTAATCAAAAAATGTTCTTTAAGCAGAAAACTGATCATTGTAGTTTTTTGACTGATCTTCTTTAAATAGAAAATTGATCAAGTTCTTTTATAAACAGAATGATCTTCTTTAAATGTTAAAATTATTAATATTTTCTTTAGGCAGAATATTGATCATTCATTTTTTCATTGATCTCTTTTAAATAGAAAAATGATCAGGTTTTTAATTAAACAGAAAATCTATAAATATCTTTTTTGAATAGAAAATTTATTAAAAATGTTCTTTAAATAGAAAATTGATCAAGTTTTTCTTGAATTAAACAATTGATCAAGCTTTCCTTTAAACAGAAAATTCATCAAGATCTTCTTTAAATAAAAAAATTTTCAACATTTTCTTTAAAAATATCTTCTTTAAATAGAAAACGAATCAAATATGTTCTTTAAGCAGAAAACTGAATCCTTGTAGTTTTTTGATTGATTTTCTTTAAATAAATAATTGATCAAGTTTGATCATTAAATTCTCTTTTAAATAGAAAATTTATCATGTTTTTACTTAAACAGAAAATCTATAAATATCTTCTTTAAATAGAAAAAATCTTTGAGTAGAAAATTGATCAGTGTAGTTTTTTCATTGAATTTCTTTAAATAGAAAATTAATCACATTTTTCTTGAAGTAGAGAGCTAGAAAATTGATCATTGACTTTTTTTATTGATATCTTTTAAATAGAAAATTGATCAAGTTTTTCCTTAAACAGAAAATCTATAAATAACTTTTTTGAATAGAAAATTTATCCAAAATGTTCTCTAAGCTGAAAATATATCAGTGTAATTTTTGCATAGATCTTTTAATAGAAAATTGATCCAGTTTTCCTTAAACAGATCTTCTTTACGTAGAAAATTGATAATTAATCTTTAACAAATAGAAAATTTATCATATTTTTACTTAAACAGAAAATCTATAAATATTTTCTTTGAATAGAAAACTTAGCAAAAATGTTCTCTAAGCAGAATTATTCTGATTGATCTTTTTTAAATAGAAATTTGATCAAGTTTTTCTTGAAGCAAAAAATTGATCAAGCTTTTCTTTAAAAAGAAAATTCAACAAGATCTTGATTGATCTTTGAAAATTTTTTCATTGATCACTTTTAAATAGAAAATTTATAATTTTTTTTACTTAAACAGAAATGTTCTTTAAGCAGAAAATCAATCAGTGTAGTTTTTTGATTGATCTTCTTTAAACGGAAAATTAATCAAGTTTTTCCTTAAACAGATTGATCAAATTCAATTGGAAAAAAATTTAAAAAAATTTCTTTCAATTAAAAGTTGATCTAAAACTTCTTTAAACTGAAACTTGAAATTTGATTTTTCATTAAAATTTTCAAAATAGAAAACTGATCATGTTATTACTTCAACAGAAGTTTTCTGATTGATCTTCTTTATATAGAATATTGATCAAGTTTTTTCTTAAACAGAAATTTGATCAATAGGAAAATTGTAAAAAAATTTCTTTCAGTTGAAAGTTAATCTAAAACTTTTTTAAACTGGAACTTGAAATTTGATTTTTCATTAAAATTTTCAAAATAGAAAGCTGATCATGTTGTTACTTAAACAGAAAATTGCTCTAGTTTAACTTTGAATTAACAAATTTATTACTGATGAAGACTTTAGCAAAAATTTTGTCAAGTGTTTTGTGTTAAATTAAAATATGTTCAGTGTATTTATTATTTAAATAAAATTTTGCATATGTCAGCTATAAATAAATTAAAAAAAACGCTTCTATTTCATATTTACATTTTTAATAATTCAGCAAAAATTTTATAATTTTTCATTTATACAAATATTTATTTAATTACTAAGTAGCGATAGTAAAAAAAAACGTTTTTTTAATTTTTGCTATTATTACAAAAACTCAAAATAAATAATGGTTCATTTTTCAATATTTTATTATGCATAATTCTTTTTGATTTTATCAAGCAAATATCAACATTTTTTTATTGATATTGGGTTTGGTTTATTATAATTAAACTTGGACGCATAGTAGTATAACTAATAATTGGTTTTGATTTCAAAACTGATTTTTATTCTTAATTTGTTGTTGTTGCCTCTTTTCCGGACAGCATCTTGTTGGCAACAATCAAAAGACACCCAACATGATGATCGACTTCAATGACATTTTTATTTGATCAATTAATGTACGACAGACAGACATTTCTCACTCTCGTCTGTTTATTTGTAAAAACAGCAAAAAGATTGAAAAGAAAAAAAACTGATGAAAAGTAAACTCTAGTTTAAACTGGTAGTAAGGTCAAGTTTGTTAGTTAAACGGCAGATAAAACTACAAACAAATATAATAATGGAAAATATTGTTGAAAAAAAAAAATAAAAAAAAAATAATGAATAAACAAATATAAAGTAAGAAGTAAGAAAAAAAGATTTATTTACTTTTAACATACTCTCGTAACAAAAATATTTATTACTACTGATGAATGGATGGCTGGCTAAATGGTTGATACTGGTGCCAGTATTACGAGAATTGTACTCAGTAAATTCCGCCCCTTAAATGGCAGTCAGTAACAATTGCAAAAAACAAAAAAACAAATCATACATGCTTATATGCATACTACATGGACAGACCGATAGACCACTAGACGGGATCGGATACAAACACTTCAGCTATAGTTATATGAAAGCTCACTTTGCCTACTTATACCAAACAAGTAGTTGGACGTCTGTATAACGTAAAAAGTATTTATTACTAAATTTGCCATAAGTTATTTTGCATATGAATGGGTTAGAAATTAATATGGAATTACAGTATTATATCTGAATATTCTTTCACATTTCTTAAGCTATTTTCTTAATTGTATTTTAACAAATATTTATCTTTTAATTAAAACTTATATTAGAACAAAAAAATACTTTTGTATAAAAAGATTTATTAGAAACTAGCTGCACCCGTTGGTCTTAGCTGTTGAAAGGTAATATATTTCGCCATTAATGCTCTTTATTTTATGATTGTTTATGTAATGAAAGGAATCTGGGAATTTATTTCTTTAGTTCTATATGAAATGAAAACATTTTAATTGAAAACTATACTTAATCATCTTTATCCTATATCAAATCTAGAATTCTACTAACTTTCCTTTTCCCTTCAACCGGAAAAACATTTCTATCGCGAATATTCCGTGAATTGTTTTTAACAGCTTTGAATTGTTAACAAAAAATCACTACTCAAATATGAACGAAAGTAAATTAATTTGATTTGAAATTTCTATCGCGAATATTCCGAGAATTATTTGTAACAGCTTTGAATTGTTGAAAAAAAAGCCACCTCAAATAATCACAATTCAAATATTAACGAAATCGAAAGTAATTTAATTTGATTTCCCACTGCTGAGCAGCAATTCTGGATCTAGTGCTGTCGGCTTTAGTCGTTTTTAGAAACATTGTTGGTCATATTAAAGAACTTCCAAAGTGTTTTCTGAGAACTAGATTTTAGGAACTAATTATACATTGCTTCTACACTCCCCCTCCTCTGGGGCATGTTAACTTGATGATCTTGACCATCTTGGTGTTATTGCAATCGGGGAAAAAAAGGTGTTACCAGTACCTCTAATCTACCGGATCTATAAACTGGTGGTGTCAAATGTATCCTCAGCTTTTCCTTGGAATAATTTGACCCAGGCAGCCATATAATATAGTACCACGGTAATCGGTAGCCCACAGAGCAGAGTTTCGGACTTTGTTTTGTTCAGATTATTGGACAGTTCCCCTCGGGGTTCACGTAAAGTTTATAATTCGGGATACGTTGATGCCGAGACAACAGATACTCCTCAGAGGAGCGACTGTGGGACTAAGTGTTATAAATGGGTTGGTATCAAGTGTACACAATACGGGATCGTATACCCGTGTATCTATAGTGATTGTGGCGGATGTTGTTCTCTATGAGCATGTCGAATGAATGAGAAGTGTGCTGGGTTTAATCGTGATGGATGAAAGGTATAAGATACCTTAATAATACAGTTGAATTTTCCTTCCTTGTCCTGGTATGTTCAGGGTTTACTCTGTTCATAACAGATTTACCACAGTGTGTTCTCTCAGTATAAGTAAGAAGAAGAGCTCAACTTATTTGATGGATTCGTGTTTCGGTCTACCGAATACGTCTCTAGGTGCTATTGCCGACTCAGATGTTCAGAAATTAGCTAGCTCGAGTATTTGAGCAAAGTACTTGTACAAAAATTGCCATCGGTGTGTAAAAAGCACAATGGGGCGGTGTTGAGTCGTCTAATCAGCTCATCCTGTGGTCGACAAAGTACCTTCTCGGTGTGTGTGACAATACACTTAAGAGCCACGAGCGTCCAATGTATCTCAAAGAAATACATTTTTGATATAGATTTTAGGATCCATATTTATTTTGAAATCGACATAGGCCAGGCCCATCACTCATTATTAGCGAACGCTATAGGTCGATGATTATTAATAAATACACCAAGAGATTCCTAAAACTATTTCTATCTTAAAATTAAAATAGAAATCTATAGGTTTGTCAGAGATTTTCAAACCCCCCAAAATAATCAGTATATGATTAGTTCCGTTTCCTGGTTCCGACACCTAATTTGATGACAGCTATCGATAAGGCATTTGGTTAATCAACCTTATAACTCCTCTAGGTTTAATTATGATTTTTTATAGGTTAAAGTTAATTTCTGAAGTGGATCGATCGATTTTGCCTATTTTTAATATCAAACAAATGTAGCTTCCTAGCTGCTGCCGTTTAGGCCGTAGACGATAGATCGTCTTAGAATATAATAAGGACCTAGACTATATACATGTACTTTGTATAGATTTGTGGGAATTTACTCGATTTTGAATGTGATGTAATTATTCGAACTTTGAGCCATATATTTATTTACACTGCTATAGTCGGGTGGGTTAAAATGAGTTTGCAACACATACACGCGATGTCAGTCTGTAATTAAACAACAAATTACAAGTTTTAAGATAATGATCTTCTATTGTATTAGTGACTGAAATTGATCTATATAAAGCACTTTAAAAATGTCCCCCGATATTGGACATTAAAGTCCATAAAAGTTTGAAAAATTAACATACATAGAACTAGATATGTAAATAGGAAGGAAACATTCAAATTTTTGTTTGTTTTTGTCCGTAGTTGAACATAGCTTCCCTAGAAAAAAACCATCTCCCGGAACTCGATTTAATTTGCATAAATTGACCAAAAATTGGTCGCAACTTCTTGGAAAATCACTTATACTTAATGTTCTTAAGAAGGTTCTAATCGAACATAAGTCCCATATAAGGTCCACTTCCGTAAATAAAACAAAGTTCTTAAGAAGTTTGTTCTACTCGATTCTAATCGAACTTAAATTACATATAAGCTCCACTTTCGTAATGCAATATAAATAGATTATAACATTCATATATAGAAAAATCATATTACGGAATTTTTTTATTATCGGCCCAAAATTGGCCGACTTTAATTAACGTTCTTGTTATGAAATAAATTTCCTATAAGGTTTTTATTTGCGTTTTTGATTGCACTTGAAAAGAAAGCATTAACAGATATTTTTATTAAGTTTTTTTTTTCTACAAATACTCTGAAATACACACTCCAGATTATATATTGGATGGAACAGCGCAAAAAAGCAAATTTAATTTGCAATTTATTTAAATATACAATAATTCACACGCATACTCAGACATTATTTATAAAATTCATATGCATAATTAAAACCAATGACAAATTGTTGTAAACATTTGCCGCTGTTGCTGCTGCTGTTTTTTTTAATATTTACTTTTTAATTAAAAATTTTATTTAAAAAAAAATTTACATGCTCATTACGTAGTTGTATTAATTTAATAGCGAATAGAAAACTTTTTTTATTTTATTAATTAGAAAGAAAGACATTTGACATTTAAATGCGATTACCACCGCACAGAGATCATAAACACAATTAGGCGATTACGTAGACGCGTTGTAGAAGCTTTTTTGAAATTTTGGACATGCAAAATTTAACACAAATGCAAATTTTATTATTATTTTTATTTGCTTTAGAAAAGCTAAAATATAGGAAAACTTGTAATGATTTTTTATTTATTTTTATAATTTATTTAAATTAGTAAAATATTTTTAACAAAAATGGCAAACAATATAAATGAATTATTTACACACCAGCACACTCACATGCCAAATTATTATAATGAATTTTTTTCTCTCGATATTTTGTGGTTTTTTTTGCAAAAGCGTGGATGTAGTTTTTAATTTTTTTTTTGCTGATCGTGTTTTGTTGTTGGCATTCACATTCGCATTGATTTGTTATTATTTAGACAGTTTGTCTGTAAGTCAAACGTACCGACACAGTTAGAATCTTGTCGTTTTGTAATATTTTATTTTAATTACTACTTAAATGTTTTCCGAAATGTTTTTTTTTTTTTTTTCTATTCCGTTAGATCTTTTATTAAACGCCGTATTTTGTCGTATTTGACAAAATTGTTCGTGTTTTTTTTTCAGTTCTATAAATGATCGTTTGCAAACGTCTAAATCTACACTGATCACTTGTTTAGTGCTTGCTGTTAGTTGTACTTGTTGTCGTAGTCGTTGTCTTCGCTGTTAGCGCGCAGATTGTATCTGCTTCTATGTTTGTATGTGTGTGTGTGTGTGTGTGACGGTTAAAGGGGGGTTTTGGACTGCCCACTACATCTACATATTTAGATCTACATAAAAGCTTTGTATAACTAAGTGTTGTTAATTTGGCATTATGGGAAAAGCTCCAGTATATTTAAATTATTGCTGTAGAAGAAAAAAGCTTTCAGAGTAAAGGGAATTAACACGAAACTGGTCTTATAAGTGGGTTCTTGGGGGGCTAGGGACCAAATGTAATATAATTAGCTTCTAAATTTATAACTAGGGTTCTAAAAATCGTCTTGCGAACAATCCAACAATAGACTTTTAGTCTTAAAAGTTGTTAAAAAGTCGAACTCGACAAAGTCATAAAGTCGATTCTTTTGTAAAAAAGAAACTCGAGAAATCAATTTTCTAAATAAAAGTCGAAGTAAGTCGCAAAAAGTAGGAAAAAGTCAAAAATTCTATATTAAAAACAGTTCTACACAGAGGGAAAAAAATATATACACGCCTGGTTCCAAATCGACACCAAATTTTTTAATAACATCCGTTGTCAAGTATATACATACATTGCAACAATTCGTTGTCGCAATCTAAATTTTATATACATCCGTTGTCTAAAAGTTAACAAACGTGGTTGACAACTCAACGTTGTCAACATTGCATAGTGTTGTCGTACGTATGTATATACTTGACAACGGATGTTATTAAAAAAATTGGTGTCAATTTGGTACCAGGCGTGTATATTTGCAAAATTGTAAAAAGTCGCAAAATTGACTTTCCATAAATTGCTGAAAGTCGGAATGTCGCCTTTCTATAGTACTTATCAAGAAAAAGCCTTATTTTGCGAATATGATGTTCCGAGGTTAAAACCCCTGCGTCCGGTTAAAAGCCTTCTATACAGAGCGCTCATTTAAAGAAATCCAAAAATGCAACATGTACTAAAGTGAGAAGCGTATCTATCCGGGAAAAATACTCTCTATTTCTAAAAAAACTAGTCGAATATTTCAATACATTTCTCTATTAAAAGTGTCAACGAGTCCATGGTGGTCTATGCCACTTTTAAAAGTGTCTTAATGTCAATGGACATCTCAACTAGTTTGTGGAAACGTTATAAGGTCGACAATTCCATGTCGCAGATCTTCCATCTGCATAGCTACAATATTGACACCTAATTGATTGAATAAAGGTTGTGGCTTCTGCCATGTAAGGTTCTCAAAATCGACTTTTTTGTCCTAACAAAGTTTATCTATCAAGAATAGACTCGAAGAACCGATTTTGAAAATAAAAGTGGAAAAGTCGGATAAAGTGTAAAAGTCGGAAAAAGTTCAAAACTTCGTCTTTTTATAAAATACAAAAAGTCGAGTTTTCATAAAACGCTAAAAGTCGAAAAGTCATATTTTTAAATTGTTCTATAAAAAATTTTAAAAAATTCTCGTTCTACAATGATTTAATAGTAAATTCTATACTTTTGAAAAACATTTTTCATAAATTCTTTATTTTAAAGAAAATTTTCGATAAATCCTCCTCTCAAACGTTCAAAAAGTCGATTTTTCATAAAATACAAAAAGTCGTAAAGTTGACTTATCATAAATTAAGTTCTAAAATAACGTTTTTTTTCTAACTTAATATTGACAACACTTTTTACTAACTTAAAAAGCTCTTCCTTCACTCTGTCTCGCTATCTGTATCTCTCAGATTGTTTACGTACAGAATTTTATTTGAAACCGTTTTAACTTTTTGAGCTCTTTTTTATCATGGTATCCAATATTTAGAGAGTCATAACAAATCGGGTATTTATAAAGATTTCGATTCTTTTTTTTACTCTTTTCTTTTGTTATTTTCTTTATCTTTCAATTTCCATTCTTTTATTGTTTTTGCCATTTTTGTGTTTTGTTTACATTTTATTTTTGGTTTTTATGATTTTTTATGTTGCTGTTGTTATTGTTGTGTTTGTTGGAGACTTTTGTACTACAAACTTGTAAAGTTTTTGGGGTCCAATGTTTAAAATGCGTACTTTACTAGTACTCTCACTAGTAAGAATTGGAAAGTATGTAACTGCTATTATTGCGGTTTTATCTTCATTTGTGTTTTGTTGTTGTTATTTGGGTGCTGTTGTGTTAAAAAGGGCTTGTGTGTGTTTTTAAACATGTTTTTTCGTTGTTTTTATTATAGTTCATTGAATTAAAGAAACAATAAAAACTCTATATGAATGGATACGCGATATCTCGTATGAATGGGGAAATGTGAAAAATGTTTTATTTGTGTGAATGTGTAAATTGTTAATTAATGTTAATTTAATTATAATGCGGTCCAAAATTGTAATAAACGTATGCGTATGCTAATGTTTATATTGTCTGACAGTCGCTTATTTAGTCGGACATGTGAATTAGGGTCAATAGGTAATAGTTTTTGGGTGTATTTTTTTTTTTTTTTTTTGAAAAGTTAATCTTTAGCCATTGTATTATGGGAAATGTTTAAATAAAAATGTTTATTTTTGAAGATAACATGGTTTTATGTATTTAAATAAAAGCTTGTTAAGAGATTTAACAGAGATTATGGATTAAGCTCTCTCTTGTTATACTGTAACTGTCTAAACTGTTATTTTACAGGTTATGATTGCTTTGATAGGTTTTAAAATTGATTAATTGGAAGGTCTTGTCTATAGTCTAGTCTATAGTCTAATCTATAGTCTAGTCTATAGTCTAGTCTAGTCTAGTCTATAGTCTAGTCTATAGTCTAGTCTATAGTCTAGTCTATAGTCTAGTCTATAGTCTAGTCTATAGTCTAGTCTATAGTCTAGTCTATAGTCTAGTCTATAGTCTAGTCTATAGTCTAGTCTATAGTCTAGTCTATAGTCTAGTCTATAGTCTAGTCTATAGTCTAGTCTATAGTCTAGTCTATAGTCTAGTCTAGTCTAGTCTAGTCTATAGTCTAGTCTATAGTCTAGTCTATAGTCTAGTCTATAGTCTAGTCTAATAGTCTATAGTCTAGTCTATAGTCTAGTCTATAGTCTAGTCTATAGTCTAGTCTATAGTCTAGTCTATGTCTAGTCTATAGTCTAGTCTATAGTCTAGTCTATAGTCTAGTCTATAGTCTAGTCTATAGTCTAGTCTATAGTCTAGTCTATGTCTAGTCTATAGTCTAGTCTATAGTCTAGTCTATTAGTCTAGTCTATAGTCTAGTCTATAGTCTAGGTCTATAGTCTGTCTATAGTCTAGTCTATAGGTCTAGTCTATAGTCTAGTCTATCGTCTAGTCTATAGTCTAGTCTATAGTCTAGTCTATAGTTAGTCTATAGTCTAGTCTATAGTCTCTATAGTCTAGTCTATAGTCTAGTCTATAGTCTAGTCTATAGTCTAGTCTATAGTCTAGTCTATAGTCTAGTCTATAGTCTAGTCTATAGTCTAGTCTATAGTCTAGTCTATAGTCTAGTCTATAGTCTAGTCTATAGTCTAGTCTATAGTCTAGTCTATAGTCTAGTCTATAGTCTAGTCTATAGTCTAGTCTATAGTCTAGTCTATAGTCTAGTCTAGTAGTCTAGTCTATAGTCTAGTCTATAGTCTAGTCTATAGTCTAGTCTATAGTCTAGTCTATAGTCTAGTCTATAGTCTAGTCTATAGTCTAGTCTATAGTCTAGTCTATAGTCTAGTCTATAGTCTAGTCTATAGTCTAGTCTATAGTCTAGTCTATAGTCTAGTCTATAGTCTAGTCTATAGTCTAGTCTATAGTCTAGTCTATAGTCTAGTCTATAGTCTAGTCTATAGTCTAGTCTATAGTCTAGTCTATAGTCTAGTCTATAGTCTAGTCTATAGTCTAGTCTATAGTCTAGTCTATAGTCTAGTCTATAGTCTAGTCTATAGTCTAGTCTATAGTCTAGTCTATAGTCTAGTCTATAGTCTAGTCTATAGTCTAGTCTATAGTCTAGTCTATAGTCTAGTCTATAGTCTAGTCTATAGTCTAGTCTATAGTCTAGTCTATCTAGTCTATAGTCTAGTCTATAGTCTAGTCTATAGTCTAGTCTATAGTCTAGTCTATAGTCTAGTCTATAGTCTAGTCTATAGTCTAGTCTATTAGTCTAGTCTATAGTCTAGTCTATAGTCTAGTCTATAGTCTAGTCTATAGTCTAGTCTATAGTCTAGTCTATAGTCCTAGTCTATAGTCTAGTCTATAGTCTAGTCTAGTCTAGTCTATAGTCTATAGTCTAGTCTATAGTCTAGTCTAAGTCTAGTCTATAGTCTAGTCTATAGTCTAGTCTATAGTCTAGTCTATAGTCTAGTCTATAGTCTAGTCTATAGTCTAGTCTATAGTCTAGTCTATAGTTAGTCTATAGTCTAGTCTATAGTCTAGTCTATAGTCTAGTCTATAGTCTAGTCTATAGTCTAGGTCTATAGTCTAGTCTATAGTCTAGTCTATAGTCTAGTCTATAGTCTAGTCTATAGTCTAGTCTATAGTCTAGTCTATAGTCTAGTTTATAGTCTAGTCTATAGTCTAGTCTATAGTCTAGTCTATAGTCTAATCTATATTCTAGTCTATAGTCTAGTCTATAGTCTAGTCTATAGTCTAGTATATAGTCTAGTCTATAGTATGGTCTATAGTATGGTCTATAGTCAAGCTTTCATTAAAGCTTTATATATGATTAAGCCTAATTTTTGTTAAAAATGCTATTTTAACAATGAGAGCTTTCTAGATTTTCTTATATGGATTAGAATTTTTAGAAAATATACATAAAATTTTGAAAACAATTTGGAAATAAAAGCTTTTAAATTTATTTTAATACGCTTTGTAAAGCTTTTGTTACTGAAAAACTATCACATAATATACATCTATACGCTTTGTCTAGGCGATTATATACAAACTTCGATAGTCAATCCAACTGGAAAATGTATCTGATACTTTCTTTATACTAATTTCACAAAACTTTAAAGAAAACGCAGCTTTAATTATA